AAAAAAACAACATATTCCCCAACACAAGAGAACACAAGAGACAACACAAAAAAAAAGAAAAAAGAGTGGGGTATATACCTTAGTTCCTTAGTTGCAATTAATTCAATGCAGCTTACTTAGGAAATGCTCTCAGAGAAGTATTTAACATTTAAAAGCATGAAAGTTACAAACAGCTCCAATTTCGCCTCCCAACACCTAGAAACAAAACTTACTTTCGACTCCACCAAAAATTTACAAAACTGTTACAAGTCAAAACCAAAGTTAAAAAACTAAATATAGCAGAAAATTTTGAAGTGCAAAAGTTAGTTAAAAATGATTTTACCTTCCCTTTAATGACTAACCAATGTAAAACTTGTGCTTTATGACGTATCATCAACCGCCCACTCTTCCCCCAGATTATTTCTATTTAACCCATCCAAGTGTATTTCCATAATACTTCTGCAGTGACACCAAGTTTTAGAATGAATATTTACAGGGTTAAGCGCAGTCATTGCGAGTCACTGTCGGTCAGTCGATGGCCAAGTTGGTAACGGAACCGGTCGCTTTGCTCGTCTGCGGTTGCGGGTGCAACGCCCGGACCGAGGCGCCGTGGCTGCCTTCGACACTCGCTCTGGGCATTGCAAAAGGCCACAGAACATAGCAGGCAGAGGAGAGTAGGGTTGACACACGTGCACATTACTCAGAGCTCGCCAGCACGTTGTTATAAATATCAATCGCACCTTCACTGCTCTATTGAACCTATTTTTGGCTTCTGTAGTGGATAAGCGTCATTCTACCCTTACATTGACAGACAATTCTCAGAACTAGCCTTCGAGACGAATTATAATTATTCTCTGGAGAAAATTTCTTATTGAAACAAATACTTATTTAATAGGACTGAGAGGAGCGTAATACCTCTTTAAAATATAACAGAAGTTTTAAAAGATAATTTTCTCATATGACCGCAATTGTTGAAATCTTTCTTTTTAAAAATAGTTATAAACAATAATAATAATAAGATAAATATTTTTTGTGAAAAATTTCTGGAACTTCTTAAATGCATTTTCGCATTCGTTGAATAATATATTTTTGTTGCTTTTTGTTTTTTCTTTGGAATACCCCATAATGTGTCACATTTTTTTAGATAAAGGTGGCAGACTTACTGGAGGTTCATAGCTTTGTATTCCCGGGAAGTCAGTAATTAGTTTTATTCAGAAAGTTAAAGTCGCTCCTCCGTGAATTTTAGCACTATTGAAACCTACCGTTTCTTATTACGTTATTTATACTACGTTATTACAGTCCCAAAATCAGCAACGTGTCTCGTACTTCATAAAGTAGGATATTACAAATTTGCTAAAACTTTTCTATTAGGCGGCATACGCCCAGAGAGTCTTGAACAGAAGCGGTCTCACATATTGTATTTCTGTCCTAGCTATCATCGTGGATGCAGGTCAGTAAGATATTTGCTGTGAATATTTAGCAGTGCAGAACTAATGAAATAAATAGCTCAATGAAAATTGGGCAGTTTGGCGTAATACATAATTACATATCCTCCATCGTATCTGCCAAAAAATAGAATACTCTTAAATTTACTTCGTAAATTATAACCTTCACAAATGATACTTTTTTCGTAGATATAAACATATACAGATATTTATTATTTCAGCAGATAGGGTTATGCAACCTGGTGGCAGAACGCTACAATTTAACATAATATAATTAGGAATATTAGTACAATGGAACTGTAAATAATTTTAAGACAACAACAATAATAATAATAATAATAACAATAATAATAACAATAATAATAACAATAATAATAACAATAATAATAACAATAATAATAATAACAATAATAATAATAACAATAATAATAATAAATAATAATAATATAATGCTAACAATAAATACAAGAATAGCATTAACTCTATATTTTATGTCTGTCTTCTTCGTTGCCTTTAAAGTATAATGATCGGGAAAGATAAAAATCCTACTTCTCCAAAAGAACGAGCACCATACACCATGCTGTTGGGCCTCGAGTGACTTCAAGAGAAGAAACCGCACGCAATCGCTGCCGGGCACGTGAGCCTCTGGCGGTAGCCATTGACAGCAGCGGAGTGACGCAGCCGATCAGTGGGGGCAATTAAGCCTATGCGTACAATCCGATTATGCCGAGCTGCGAACCTAGAGCTTCGTATCCCGCGGGTCGCATGTTAGCGGCTTACTCCGTGCATCAGTTGACCGCTTCGACACGTGCGAAGCGATTGATTTTAGGGTGTTAAAGGTCATCCTACAAAATTCGCATATTTCAGTGTTCCATAAATCATTTCAAATCTACATCTCTATATTTTTTATACAACTTTCGAATAACTAATCTGAGTTTGTTATTGATTAAATGTAGTGTACTCTTTCCCTGCAATATTTTTAGAGGTTTTGCAAAATATTATTTCTAGATAATGAAAATACATGTTCAGATTTTGACTAGAAATCGTTTTAACATAGAGAATTAATTTTTCCATCCCAGGGGCTGCCCATACACTCGGAGATGTAGATCGTCAGCCGCAGATAGGTGAAACATGCGTTTTCGTTTGCGACTGCCAAAGGATCCGATTTCACAAATTCAAAAATTTCTGGAAAACATTGAAAGTATACTATTTTGAACTTCACAAACTTCATTGACGGTTTTAATTTGAAAATTAGTGTTAATACTTGGTAAATATTTTCAGCATTTCTATCTATGCAGTTATCTACCTCAGTCTTAAAAGATTCAATCACTTTTTTCGTGTTATATACCAATTTTAGACAATGTAATCTATTACATAAAAGTGAGAATATGCGTGAGAAACTTTCAAACCAATGCGGAGATTGCTCCCAAAGTTTCAAGAATGCTTTTGAACGACAAATAAGAAAATACCAGTGCTAAAACAGCACGAACTTTCTCGCCCTTAGAAATGGTTACGTAATACTATTTATACCACAATTTCTCCCGAATTATCACATCTCGGTCATCATTTTTGTAAAACACATTACAAGTTGTAGAGCATTTGATGGTGGTTCCTGCCTGTGGTCAGCAGAATTATGCCTTCTGCGACAACACACAAACTTTAAAAAGACAAGGAGCAATGAAGTCTTCGGCGGCCCCCGAACCAACCCCAATTTTGGAGAAAATCAGCTAAATGATTTAGCCGCTAGCGTTGTTGACGGATAGACGGACGGAATAGTGCACGGACACGGACATTTTGCCGTCAATCGATTTTTCGGTATCAAGGACTCACAAAACATAGATTCTGGCTGCACCTTGTGATAGAGGATATTTTTCTAATTTTAACAACTGTATTTCAACATTCATTATAACAACCACTTTTTCATTACCAGGGCCCGGCGATAAGAGTTTTTGTGCCTCAAAATCGCCGTTCCCCCCCCCCCACAACATTACATACATAACTTACTCTCTTCTGCGTATGCGGTAACGAAAAAGGAAAAATAATGTTCAATTGTTGCAATACGAAATGTTACTCCCAAATACGTACTTAACAAAAGTGCGTATTTAACAAACAATTTAGTGAAATATAAACCTTAAAGGCCCATTCACAATGCAAACGTAAACATAAGCTTAACGCGTAGACGTAAACATTAACATAAGTGATAGACTGAAGTATTCACAATGTCTAACATAAACGCAAGCAAAATAAGAGCTTCTATTAGCTGTGAGGCATTCTAGTTTACTATTGGCTGGATGTGAGAATCGATTTCGAGTTATCGACTGTGTTCATGGCTTATAATGGCGTTAGATCGTCTATCGACTTCGCTCCTCTTTTGATCCTCGATTTTGAGTTAACGTACTGTGATTGGTTCATTTCGTATGTCTTATTTAAGCGTAAGCATAGAAGCTTGAAGGTTGCATACTTTTAAGTTAACGTCTTACGTGTTATGCTTATGTGAACGCATTGTGAATGAATCCGTTCATGGAAGTAGTTCTAACTTTTATGTTAACGCCATGCTTATGTTTATGTTTGCATTGGGAACGGGTCTTAATGCTTCTGGCTGCCGCCGTCGCCGGATGACGTGCAGAACGAGGCTGGCTGGAGCGCGCGGAGCGGAAGGAACGGAATTGGCGGAGAAGCGGTCGGAGCTCGAGGGGCAGAGAGACAGAGCGAACCGAAGGGGCTGGGACGTTGCCTTGGCTGTCCGGATTGGACGTGAGGGGGACACGGGCGAAATGTGCGGGGCGGGCGAGGCAGAATGGTTGAGGCGAAAATTTTAGAACCCCGGTAATCCGAAGTAATTGAGGGTGTGATCTTTTCGGATTCGGAAAGTTCGGATTATCCGAGAAAAATGTGGCTATTGGACTACCAGACAATGCAACGTAGCATGCTATATGAGAGAATGGTAACGTAGCGTAGAAATCGCTCCATCACATCGCATCATCAAGCAGATTGTTCCTTACGGCAATATATTACCAATTTTGCAAGTTCTTCTAAGTAGAAAATACTACTACATAAACGTGATATGCACCGCAGTTACCAGTGCAATAAACGTTTCATTTAGACATCTTGTCTTTCAGAAATTAGTTCAGTTCTACCGTAATTATAAAATCCTTTCTATATACTACAAATAAGCTTTTATTTATTTTTCCTCTATCTCAAATTTTGTCCAGATTATCTGAAACTTCAGATTTGCGGGATTAGGATTATCGAGGTTCTACTGGAAGTCCCAAATTTCCAAGTCATTTTTCAATTATACTGGTTCTTGTGGCTTAGAAGTTTTCTGCATCACTTCATTCTATTGTAATCTTTAAATTTTGTCATGCACGTTTTTGAAAATGTGAGTGAGCGTTGAGTAATGAGACTAAGAGAGAGAAAAGTTTCGACATGCCGTGCTATTCAACTAGTTTTTTTTTCAGGAACACCTGTGTTACACGATTGCTGGATTATAATTATATTATTATTAGTTATATTATTAAAATGATATACATATTATTAAAATTAATAATACCGTATAATCCGTAGTATTAATATTAACATCTTTACTATATAACTTGTTAATAAGAGCAAGAAACAACACATGTAAGATCTATTGCCGTTCAATTAAAGAAAAAATCACGAAATTCAGTTGAGTAGAATGTTCACACTTCTATTTGAACAAAGCCATTATTGTTTAAATATAAAGATTACTTATTGTTTTCTGTGGTACCAATTTTCTACGATTAATTATAAAATCAACTGACTCTTCCTATTCCGACTAACAGATTATTACTAGTAGTTTGGATCATTATATTCTCAATTTACAATCAAATATTAATTACATCGGGAAATGCGCTAGCATCACTAGGTAATATGTAAGGTGATTTGGTAGAGGAATTGATACAGCATCTTCTTCATATCTTCTTTAACTCTTTAAAATGAGGCGTTTTCTAAAAAAAAACTTCTTGTATTTGCAAAAATGTTTTTAAAGGATGCAATTGATGCATCCACATGTGAGATAATATGAAAGGGGTCTGTTCTGCTCATTTTCAAGAAGGGAATATCTAGATTTGAACTATGTTCCTTCCGGAAATTATGTGAGGCTCTCTCAAGTTAACAAATGCCCATGAAAGTGAATTTCGGTTAAATAATGAAACAAAGTGGTTTTGATTGAAGAAGCCTGAAAAGTCAGACTCTATTTATTACCACTATTATATTCTGAAAATAGCTTATTCACTACAATATTTTGTTATCAACACAGTTTTGAGTAAAATCTTCATCCTCTATCACAATGTTAACTGACTTTCATCTCTTTCCTTCTTCGTCGTATATGAAGTTATTCAATTTTTAGCCAAGAAAAAAAATATCACGCTTTAGAATATTGTTTTTAGTACTTTTACACGGAAACCAGAGCTCCCGTTTACGATTTATTGATTAGAAACTGTTCTTGTGCGGTACATGTAAAGTAAATCAGCATTTCCTCTGATGCTTGTTGAAAAGTTCGCTCTGGGCGACATGCCGCATGTAACTGCCGTCCGCGTGCTTTTAATCTCAAGAGTGTACTTGCAAATTTGCTTGAATTCGTACTAAAAACAATAAACGCCATTCGTATGTTTGCGTTTTTGTTATTGGTATTCACCTTTCAAAATACCGTACTCGGTTCGTATCATCACATTTCATTTGTACATTTCTCTACTATATTCGTATTTACAGTCACATTATTATGCGCATCTAAACATTCCATTTTTTGCCTTTTTGCCAAGAAGATCATTAAATTAATGCAAGCTTCTTCATTATTTACAAGAAAGCAACAATAGTATTTTGATACTGCGTTTAAACTGTATCGGTTCCGTATTCCTGTAAAATAGACGCTTTAGAGAGTCAGAATATATCGAATTATGATCATTATACCAACGTAAACAATCTTTTATTTTGTTGATCGTTGATTAAGCTAAAACACTTTTTTTTCATTTTCAAAATACAGCTCTTAAAAATTCTCCAAAAATTCAACATTATGATCCACACGTTATACAAATGTGCTCATACAACTACAATATAAAAATCGGCAAGAACGGTGTACACTATTAAGATGAAATTTAAAAGAAACTTTTAACTGTGACTAATATTTTTTAATGTGGGTGTGCACTCTGTTGACCCCTTGTATTCTATTTTCTGTTTATTTAACACTTTTATTTTTTTATTACACGACTAATACAATTTATATAGCAGTGTATCAGTTTATTTCCTTCTAACAATTAGAAGGCCTGGAACTAAAGTGGTCTATGAAACAATGTAGCTTAAATCCAGGTATTGGTAAACTTGATTTGAATACGTGAGCATATATACATTCAAACATAGTCTATGACTTATTTGTCGTTGTAGGTGCTGCATAGTATTCGCAAATGGTTTTAATGTTAGTTAATTCTTATGTGGTCAAAAACCGCATTGTGATTCGTACCATAGACCACTTTAGTTCCGGGCTAGACAATTATCCATAGCCGTGAATATCTTGTTCTACCATCCCGAACCCCAAATACTTACCGGTATTTCTCGTCAAATTTAAACACACATATTCGTTAACGAATCAAATCTAACGAACCTTAGAACGAAAGGGGAATTACCTCCATAATTGTTACGTACTTTTAACGTAAAATTACATACATAATTACAATATAATTTCGGCCGGGTTATGATTGTTCTGTGCTCCTTCGCCGTGGTGGAAGCACGTTCATTTCACAAAGGGTCGCTCGCAGAAGAAGGAGAGCTTGGTGTCGCAGGGCTCGTCCGTGAGCTCCTTGTCGCGGTTGAAGACAACGCAGTGCTCGCCGTCTCCTTCGTTGTTTGGCTGGCCCTTCTCCCAGCGAGCCCAGCCTTCCTCTTGCAGAGTCAACCCTGCGAACAACCAGTCTCATGATCAGACAAACGAATGAAGTTCAGGTGTAATGGAATGTAAACGAGTGCAAATCAGTAAAAAATATGCATGATGTTGTGTAACTAAGCGTATTTTTTTCGGTTTCTGGATAAAAAAAATATTGCAATGCTAAGTACAAATTCAAAATTGCGTCGGGAAAAACATTACGATTTTCACTAAATTGTTTAATGTGGCACTAGGCACTTTATAAATGAATAATAAATATACATTGATATAAAAGTACACCCAGTCATGATAAACTGCATATTTTGTTTACTTAGTTGGATGTTCTTTGTGTTTTATTCGAAGTAGTTTCGAAGTGACAATGATTATTATTATGTTAGTTTTTTAAAGGTAATTTTTAAGGTAATTTTAATTTTTTTATGAATTAGACAGTTTTATATCATTATTATTTTATTATTAGTGTTATTTTTATTTTCATTATTATTTTATTATATTATTATATAATTTGCATGTTAGCTGTAGTGTTTTATTTATGTAATTAGCTGCCACCGGGTTATGCCCATTTGCAGTTCAAAAAAAATGTATTATTATTATTATTATTATTATTATTATTATTATGTTAAAATGAAACGGGTATGATGATGTTTACCTCTCAGAGACAAGAAAACGCCTTCAGTCTTCAGATCTGTCACTCCAATCCAGGCCTGATCGTTGAGCCAGTCTTGATCGTTGAGTCGGGGGTAGTTACTGAAAATGACAGCCATGGACTCTGCTTCCGCTTCAGAGTTGACGACCGCCAAGTTGCCTCCTTCGCTCGCACATGTGCGCAGGGCGTCCTCCCACGTGGTCTGGCGGGGGTGGAATTTGTAGAAGCCCACATTTGGTAGGACTTCGTAGTCTGCATCCAAGGGTGGAGGTTTTTCTGGAAATAGGTGCTATTTTATGTTCGAAAATAAAGAATACCAAATACATTATTACTGTTAAATTTTGAGTTTTAATTAACAAAGTGATATATATTCTTACCTCTCTTACATTGTATTGTGCTTTGTTCTGTGAATGTGCCGAAGTCGTCTGATGTTTTCTGAGAAAATAAAATATTCTAATTATTTGAAGTGTGTGAATGCCCTGCTTATAGTAAGCTCTCTTATCAAGGGAATGAAGAGGTTTTGGTAAAAAATAACCATTTTACGACTCAGAGCTTGAACGAATGTTACATTTAAAAAGTTTTATCTAGTCCATCTTTACTGCCGCGTGCCTCTTGTTATACTGGACTCAGAAGTGTTCATAACTAAAGATGGTGTGTAGACAATTAGTAGTCATTCGTGTTTATTGCATAATAGTACAAGAAATTAAATAAAAAGAAACGTTATCTTTTTATTATATTATAACACAGGGCACCTCTGAATTCCGTTAAACGTTAATAGCCCTTGTAATTCTTAGAGTTGAGAACGGAAAAGACATATAAATTAAAGTACACTGACTATCATTATATTGTAAAACAAATCTCGGAATTATAAGAAGGACTTAAATAAACTCAAATGGGTACGATAGACACATTAGAAACAACAATTAGCTTCTGACACTGGCCACTACTGGTGTCGCTACCCTACGCTCTGATTTTAAATATGCTGTTTACTCTGTTTTGCTGTTTACTCACACGTTCATTTCTTCTTCGTCAATCAATCACCCTCCAAATATTCTTCAAAATAGTATTTGTAGTTTCAATTTTCAAGCTGACCATGTTTAATGCTGAAGAGAAATTATAGGAGTATTTCTCCTCAAAATAATTACCTCAGAATCTCTTGATCATGTATAATATGTGTACATTTATTATTAAAGTTTTTCATTGCAGAAGGTGATAATAACCTTACCGGATTTGTCCATACTCTGGTGCTGTTTCTCCAACATTTGATGGCAAATCTAACGTCCACAAAGTGCGTACTCGTGCATGCGCACTCTAATTGCGCCATTGGATCAAGATTTGCAGCCGAAATCGAACACATTGTCAGTGCTACAACAACTGGCACCTGAAAAAATGTGTACATATCAACATCTGTTTTGCCTTTGGAAATAGATTTTATTATACCGGAGTGAATTTCTTATAAATTCTGGGGCAAAACGGTGTATTCATAAACGCTATATTCCATCTGTATTCAGAATTAAGCTTGTTTATGGGTTAGGGTAGACACCTCAAAATTTAAAAGACCGTGCTCAGAATACACTCCTCCCCACAGAACTGCCTCTCAGATTTTAATTTTTTTTTTTAGTTTAATAATTAGATTGTTCGACATATCGCCTTTGTGATGCACAGAAAAAATGTCTTTTGATATTTTTTAATAAAATGCTTCTATGCCGTTGCAGTTCTTTTTATATATTGTTTTCCACTGAATAGATAAAATATCGGACGAACTGGGACAGACATTTTAGGAACTATATATTAAGAAATGTGTATGCATTTACAACCGAAATTTATAAGCATATTAAAAAACTATCTAAGAATGTGTCTCGAAATTTCCCATATCTCTGGCAAAATCTGTGAGACACCCAGAACGGCAATCGTTAATATTTCAGAAAATTGTATCCGTTGCCAAACATTAAATATTAACAAATTAGTCGGTAACTCATCTGTCGAAATGTATGTGTATTCTGCATTTTTGAACTCAACTTGTCACTACGTAACCAACAGTATATTAAGGGAAGTTAACTACGATATTTTTTATGAAAATAAAGGTTTTGTAGGTAACGTGAAGTATGTGGAAATTTTCTTGAAACTGAAGAATGAAATTAATTTGAAAAACGCTTATATATTATGACAGCAAAACAACAAAATGTTTTATTTTTGGAATTACTATTGTCGTTGAAAAGAAAATCTGCTATATCATCAAATATATATATATATATAGGTATATATATATATATATAGTATATATATATATATGTATATATATATGTATATATATAGTATATATATATATGTATATATATATTAATATATATAAGTAGTATATGTGTGGTGTGTGTGTGTGTGTGTATGTGTGATGTGTGTATGTGTGTGTGGGTGTGTGGGTGGGTGGGTGTGCGCGTAAAGAACATTAATGATGATCTATAGTTACTATAATAATGAAAAAAATATTAAAGACGGAAATAAAGTAACAGATTAATTAATGATTTGGCAAATGAAAAATATGAAAATGTGAATCCGCCAGAAGTAATTGAACTCCCGAACCAGTAATTCTCGCTGACGCACCTGAAGGCTCCGGGCCGGCATGTTGAGCGGTCGCGCGCGGGCCGTGCCCACGAGTCTTCCCGCCGCGGCGCCGGTGCAACTGGTTTCTCGCGAGGTCGCCTCTTCCAAGGCACACCGCGCTTTCCGCCATTCCCCCCCCCCCTCTCTCCTTGGCACCGCTGGCGCCTACGTCATCCCGTCACGCGGACAGAAACAGGGGTGGCCGGTGGGTTGCAAATTGAATCGTTCATTTCACAAACCCGCCAAAAACCAAATTGCTCGTTTCGAGAAAATTGAGAAAAAGTCTCCCCATTTTGTAGATTTCATAATATATTTATTTATTAAAGCAGTTCATGAATGGATATTTTTCATACAAATAACTATAACATACAATGCACTAAACGATGTATCTATCGTCTTGTAACAGTAATCCGTCGTAATGTGTGTTGTAGATTTTGGAGTTTGACGGGTTTCTGAAATAAACGATTCAATTAAGGTGCAAGGCATATGTGTCTGGGCTATCACATACATTTTACGTCTTCAAAATATTTCTTTTTTGTTATTTATTCTTGCTTGGCCATTGGCCCTCTACAGCCGCATACGATAGTAAAATATTTCTTGACCGAGGAAAACTACTTCATGTATTGTGTAACCGAGTTGCACACATGGGGTTATTAATCCTTGTCTAAGACAACTTTTATGAAGATAACGGGAGATACAATTGTGTTCATGTGAAAATAAGAATTAAAAAAAATATATCTCGTAAAAGCCAATGGAATTATTATTTTATGGAATGAAATGGAGAGGGTCGATATTCTTAGCAAAGGCACGGGCGCATTAATAGGCGTGGACTCTGCCGAACGAAATCCTAGTAGTAGCACGCTGCCCCCCCCCCCACCAAATACCCCTTCTCTTCCTCCAGCTTCCGCACCAGCTACGGACGGACTCGCGGTAGTTCATGATACAACCCATTGTAAAAACATGTTCTCTGCTGCTTAAGCGGACACATACAAGTAAATTCGTCCTCAAACATTGCGCTGGTGGAATGCAAAAATTAAACGAGTAGATTTATTGAAAGTTCAATACTTTTTGTAACTTTTCCCGAGGTTGGTTTTTGTAGGGAGGGCGCCGCCCTAGAGCCTCTGGGCAGAAGTATTTTGAAAGCGCTTTTCTGCTAAACTGCAAACGCTAAAAGCCCTAAAACTCTGTAAATGCACTTCAGAATCAGGATGCTCTTTCTTACAAGTTCATACTTCATCCTACTGGCGCGTTTCACCATGCATGACCGAGAATAGCCGAGGTCTTCCGTGTACAGCGCTGGCAGGATTGCTTATCGCCGTGAAAAGGAAAACGGCACGAAGAGGCGAGTGAGTCACCGTGAGCGGCGGAGAACTCTCAAATTAATGCGCTGGTATTGACGAATTTCTTGCATGCTTTTCGTTGTTTTCTGGCGAGCTCTCAGTTGGTGTTTGCCATTACAGCTGAAATTTATGTACATATTTTCTATTTATACTAATATTCCATTTCTTCTCAAATAATGAAAATCATAATTTTTATAACTTTCAATATGTCATCGGCGCATATATCGATGTGACGCCTTAGAGCTGAACGTGAATAAAATTAAATTCAGATTTTTAGGATTTTAGGTACAAAATATGCAAACTTTGCATAAGTATTTTAAAGCATTCTCAATGTCTTTCTTTCTTAAATTATTGTACCTGGGTATCCCCAGCTTTTTATCAACAGAATTAATAACACTAACAAAATTATTGAATGGTAACTTAATATTGTAAAGTTGTTGAATGAAACAAGTTTCAAATATCTGTTGACCGCCAAATAACTTAACGTTGAGAGGCTTGAAAGGTTGTTAGTTAGAGCAATTATAAAAATATTATTGATATTATGATGCTTCCCTAACTTTCAAATTTATGAATAAATCCTAAAACTTTCGATATCACTTTCTCCCTATCACTTACGAAGTAGAGAGAAAGTTATATAATGCAAAGCGATAAAACGTATTACAGGGTTCTGGTTACAAAAAACTGATAAATCCAGTAGCTAAAGTTATAAAAATATTCTCTAACACGTGATGTAGTCAGGATCCATGTTTTATGGGTTCTTGATACCCAAAAATCGAATGACGACAAAATGTTTGTCTATCTGTCCGCCCATCTGTCGTCCGCCTGCGCGTGTCAGAATAACACTAAAATATTCAGAAGATTTTCTCCAAAAGTAACATTTCCCAGTCGATCAGGCTGATATCGCGGCCCCTTGAATTTGAAACCGATCTTTTAATTTTGGGGGTACTTTACATGAAGCTTTTGGGACATTATCAAAATTTAAAAAATGGCTCTATCATTTTTTGTTAAATTTGTTTTTGGATAGTGTCAATGACATTTAAGAGAACGGACCTCATTTTTGTGAAAACTCTGAAGTGAATTTTTTTATGAAATTGCAAAACAATAAAATTGTTTTCGCCATATTTATGTAACATCAATAATAAATATAGATATTTTATCCTAAATAAAATCAGTTCCTCAACCCTTCGATCCTGTTTCTCCAATGCTTACGTGAACTCTGTTTGGGGTCTTTTTGACCCCAAAGATTTTACACAATAGTTTACAAGCATTTGATGCACAGGTGTTATTCAACATAAAACTACAAAATGGAACAGACACGTTTTAAGAATTTTTATTTTGTAAAGTAGATGTCAAATGTCACATTTCTAACCCCAACCGCAGAAAAATCTAATTTTTCCAACAAAACAAAACTTAAAAAACTGAAAAGTTTACAACACATGTAAAACTGATGAATAAATAGCATATCTAAAAGGATAAACACATATGAATAGGTTTTAGAGAGTTGAAAAGCGTTATTTGCCTCAAGGTGTCAAAAAATACCCCTAACAGAGAGTCTAAAGGTTACAGTTAGGTTTAGAAATAAGGTCATGTACAATTTTTGAAAATGTTGGTACTTTTTGAGCAATTTTGTGTGAAAGTAAGGGTGAGAAAGTAGCTGTTTTAACACCACTAGTTACTAATGAAGAGAATACCCATGTGTGTTACGTTATTTTTTAAATAAATGATCTTTAATAAAAGAACCCATGTTGTTTTAGTGTTTGCAATTTATTACTCGCAGTTTATAGTATTGGTATCATATTATTTTTATTTGATGGGTAACTGACCTCTAGAGTATTGTATTAATATGTCATTTATTTATTATCAGAACATACATCGATCAGACGTTTGACTCCACAGATGATTGATCTCTAATTCTACAATTAAAAAGTAGAGTGAGGGCACACATTAATCACCACCAGACAATCATTAGGATGTATTACGAAATGCTGCCGTTACGCCTTATTAATCGTAGATAGAAGAAGTACTTTAAGAAGGAATGAAATAGGTATGTTTTTCATCTTCAGAAGTAGAGAAATCCATAAGGTGTTTGAAAAAATGTATTATCTAGTTATATTTGGTAGACAAAAGGTTAAATTATGGGACTTGTGAATAATTTGTTATTTTGTTGATTTTATGCTGAAATAGAAGTGAAGAGTTTTTAATGTCTCTTTTTAACTACGTGGTCATAGAGCGCCCACTATTATTGTTGTAATTGTAGGGGGAACTGTAGGAAAAACACGTAAGGACAACACAAACACTAATGCCCGAGGCGGTATTCGAACCCGTGACACTTCGTGTCGACACAGCTGCGGCCCTTCAGCCTTCACAACCTCGGCTATCCAGGCAGAGTTGTGTTCCTGAATAACCATCCCATGGTAGACAAAAGGTTAAATTATGGGACTTGTGAATAATTTGTTATTTTGTTGATTTTATGCTGAAATAGAAGTGAAGAGTTTTTAACGTCGCCTTTTAACTACTTTGCCATAGAGCGACCACTATTATTGTTGTAATTGTAGAGGGAACTGTAGGAAAAACACATAAGGACAACACGAACACAAACACTAATGCCCGAGGCACGATTCGAATCCGTGACCCTTCGCGTCGAGACAGCTACAGTTCTTCATCCTCCACGACCTCGGCAATCCAGGCAGCCAAGGGAAGAGTTGTGTTTCTGAATAACCATCCCATGGTATTTACGACTAATATTTTGATGGCTGTGATAGCGAAGCGCAGTCCTTGCGCTTTCTGGTAGCCAGTTGCCGGCCAAGTTGCAACCTGTTGGACCGGGGAACTTGGGTCGCCTTGGGCGCCTCCTTGGTCGCGGGTGCAACGTCCTGGGCGGCGCGCTCACGGCAGCGTTTGCCACTTGCTCCGGGCATTGGACGAGGCCAGAGCACTTAGCTGGAAGTGGAGGTTAGCGTTGCCACAAGTAACGATTATGCGAAGAACGTCCGTACGACCGGGACCGTGGCTCAGGGCATCAACTGATGCCGCTGCAGTGCCTTTGAATCGGAGGTCCTGGGGTTCACGTCTGGACGGCGTGGCAGGATTTTCGATACTGGCCAGATAGCTAGGTGGAGTTCTGTCGCTGTTTGAATGAGAATTCTAGCTACCGGACGCTCTGATCGGTTGATTTTCCGTGGTTTCTCTGATCAATTCCAGGTGAATGTCGGAGCAGTACCCAGCACGCGATCTTTCCTTCACATACTTTGTCATACACCTTACACACACTTGCAGGCACTTCACTACCACACAAACCGGGAGATCGGTCGGGAGCTTAGAGATTGTCCCGGCTGGGTCGGTGTCACACTATTGAGAGATACCTGGTAAGGGGAAACCCAGTTAGCCCACAATAGGTCGGCGCCCGATCTCGTCATCCAGCGGGGAAATACCACCACCACCACCTCCCGAGCAAAAAATGCACTACTCTTACAGGACTAATGACCTTAGCAGATGACGCGCCCGGAATCACTAGTAATCAATCAATAGTTGTTATGAATGCCTATTGCCCCTTCATGGTTACATCGGAACTCCTAATGTGCCTATTAACTATTATTTGTTTTTCAGTTTACAGTGAATAAGATAAGCGTAGCTTGGAGACCTTTCCATTGGCAGAGCTAGTCTTCCTAACGACTTAAACATTTTATGTAGATAAATGAGACGGAGACGAGCACAGTATGTCTTAAAATAATGCCTAGGTCTTTTTAAAAGAAAATATTTTTATAATGACCACAATTGCTAAAAACTCCTTTTTACAACACATGCGAAAAAATATTAATAAAATAGATATTTTTGTGAATTGTGACTTGAACATCTTACTTGGAGATCATCTTTTGTTGAATAATTAGTTGTTTTTTTAGCTGTTTTCTTAGTGATACCCCGTGATTAATTGGTCCATTTGTTGACTTAACGGTGGCAGATTGGCGTAAGAGGAGAATCATAGCTTTAAGGCTAAAGACGCTTTTCATAGGGAATTTTTAGTTCTAGGCTGAATTCACCATGCATTCACCTGGCTTTTCTTGAGACATCAGTGACTTAAAGAGAAGAAACTGCATGCAATCTCGGCCGAACTCATAAGATTGTATATAGATTTCTGATACGGACGAGAATAAAGAAGCAGTTTAATCCAGACAAAAATGAACTACGTCGAGATTAAGGCAGTAGTGCCTACGCAATCTCGGACTGAAGGATCGCTGGTTCGAGTCCCGCCTCAGATATGGTTGTATTTGTGTTCGTCCTTTCACCCCTCACGAGCACCATATCACATCATACTTGCTAACCCTATCGCTAATCTATAGTGGCTAATCTATAACACCGTTTCACTCTACCCACATTAAATCAGTAATTAACTGGCACCTTCTCTAGAAATCCATAAAATATCTACGATTATTAAGAACAACTATTCTACATACGAGGGAAAGCAGCCAGAATAACTGCTTCAAATAATTATTTTTTTTTAATTTATTTATTTTCAGAAGCTTTTGTTATAATTCTCGCGTCCCCCGTGCTACCAAGCAGCTATTGACTCCAACCGCAGAAGCGTACGCTCTCAAATCGTCCTGTCACACTTACAGAAGACTATTTCGTGAATGACAAGAGCCATACTCAAAATTTCGGATAATTAAAGTAGCAGGATTATGAATGTATGTCAATAGGTATTTGGTGTGTCTGTGAAACGCACGTATTTGCCCTAAGGAAGTTCGCAGTATGACGACCGAAATGTGCCGAATCGGTGCTAAAGGTGTTTCCCAGGGCCTAGGACGCGGCGTCTCCCACAATCTACTTCCATAAAGCGTACGCTTTAATGACTGTGAACCTTGCCGTTTCTGGAAAGTAATTACTTACGCACTTTTCCTATTTCTTACAATGTATTAAGAACGAGTATGTTAAGACGGACAAACAGTTGGTCAGGCGGACAGACGTTTTGAAAAAAGACATTTCTTTGCAAAATGGGGTCCTCACAAACGGTGTATTTTTATAGATATATTGAAATCGATTTTCCACATGATTACATTACTCTTTCTGTACTACATAAACTACTCCAAATATATACATACGAATACCAAAAAGTACAAAAAATTAGAAAAATGGGGGAAGAACGAGTAGATTATGCAGGGTTAGTAGTTGCAGGATTAAAAGAAAGTACACTGTCAGGAGTGGCGTACTAATATCGATTATTCCTTTTTATTGTAAGAAAACCAATAAGTTTCTAAATTAATATTTTTATACTCTTAGAACACCTATTAAAAACAATTTTACATTCTTGAGACATCAGTTCCTCCGCTCGCAGACGAAGGAGAGGCGCGTGTCGCAGGGCTCGTCGTTGTAGAGGCGCTGCCGGTCGAAGGCCAGGCAGTGCTCGTTGCCGCCCTCGTTGTTGGGCTCGCCCTTGGCCCAGCGCTCGTAGCCCTCCTCCGGCAGCGTGCGCCCTGCAGCACAAAGCCGCCCGCGCTCATTTGTGCAATTCAAAACCAAGAGAAAAGAAGCGCAGCTTAAAGTCCTCATTGTCATGGCTAATAAACAGACAATCAAAGCTGTCCTTGCATAACACAATACAGATTCATAAAACTATAATCAAACCAACATGGACCTATGGTATTGAATTGTGGGGCTCTTCCAGTAAATCGAATCTAGAGATTCTAAAAAGATTCGAAGCTAAAACACTAAGAAAACTATGCAACGCACCACGGTACATGACAAACAAGACGATATACAGAGACCTCGACATCGTCCCGCTGGAGGAAGTTATCGCCACTAGAAGCCAAGCATACCAGAGAAGATTGTACAACCACCCAAATCACCTTTCAACAAGCCTTCTAGATAGCAGTGAGCATATCTATAGACTGAGGAGAGAGAGAGTATTTTACATGTGCCATACCGATTTTGTAAATACAATTTTTTAATGTCATAAAAAGTTCACGTCGGAAATGTATCTGTTGACGCCATTTGCTTATTGTTCCGATAGGAGCAGATTGTAAATTATGCAGAAAAAATATGCAATAGACGAGGATGCGGGAAGAGAGGGCCAGTGACCAGAGCGATCAAAGATCTCGCAGGGAATCCTTATTCAGTGTGAACAATGTAGATTAACCCCACGTTTAGTGGGTGGATACTATATGTGCAAACACCATATATTTAAAAAATTGTTATTAATGGTTTCAGAATAGTATGATTCTGGCAGTTCATATATTTGTCTACTAAACTTGTATTAGTTGTATGTTAATACTTAGCGGTTTGTTTATTACATATTTATTATATTAAATGATTCAAAATATAGCTTCATGCAAATAGAAAAACATACTGGCAGATCTTCACAGAATACAATGGTCCCTATTTTAACCCTATCGTATCTATTTTTACTTTGGCTCGACAGCCCGATATAGACATTGGACTACCAGTTTAATGTTAATTATTAAAATGTTAATATTAAAATTATTTTAATATAAATTTAAAAACAGATGAATTTTGTGCATCCAATGGATGTCTATAAACATCATCTGCCTCTAAAATGGTACCGTAAATATGAATACTCTTAGAAGCTAAAAATATCTGGAATTCTACACTAATGACATCACAAAATTAATTTAAAAGGTACATGTAACAAGAAGATACCAAATTATGCCACCTCTCGGAAAATAATAAAATTACATATCATGAGGTCGGACATCCCACCGGATCAATGAAGGGTTAAGCAAAGGACGATATCTTACCTGTCAATGATACAAACTTTCCTTCTTTTTTAAGGTCAGTGATTCCAACCCAAACTTGATCATTGAGCCAGTCTTCTTCGTGCAGTTTCGGAAACTCTGCGAAGATCTTGGACACAGCGTTGGCTTCATTTTCAGAATTTACGACTAGCAGGTTAGCGCCTTCACTTGCGCAAGTCCGAAGAGCATCTTCCCATGTAGTCTGGCGAGGATGAAATTTGTAGTAGCCCAGATTCTTTACCAGCCTATAGTCTTTTCCAGGATTTGGTACAGGTCCTATAGACAGTAAAAGCTACCAGCATTAGTATTCGATCTAGAGATAATAGTGTGTTAAACTCTCGTATACTATGCACGATAGTTGTTATGTGAATGTTACGAGTTAGAAAACGAAAGTGTGCTCAGTGATACTAATCTTGAGATGAAAGAACACATCATATAATATTCAAAAAAATTCCACATGTTATTCAGCCGCAGAAAATAAACTATTGTCAGATTTGAAGTGATTATGGAGCTAACTAAATGCTTGACTATATGAAAGGAGTGATTTCTTAGATTTATAAATAACCATCTCTGCGAATGCATAATATAGAAAAGAAACTGCGCAAAAATCGTTATATTGTCCTGCAAACAGTGGAAAGGTGTTTGTTTAGTAGAAATGAGAATATTGCAGGTCCAACTGACAACGTATGTTTCCCGCACTGTTGATCTGGTTACTAGAGTCTTGCAAAAAAGTTTATTATAACGCGTCGTGTCATCACCTAGGCAGTTAAAAACGCGACGAGATATAGATATTAATGGTCGTAAGGGAAAAAATAAATGCGATTATTGCCAGAAAGTGACAATAAATACAGATTTGGATTAATAAACGCGGTTATTTTACGTGAAGAAAGATTCTAGGGGATAGTGAGCGCTGAAAGAGTAAAAAAGATACTTTATTGGAAAAGAATGGGAAATGTCACGGAACAATAGAAAGTTTCTGAAAGTCAGGCTACTGAAAGACTTATTTGCAAACGAGATGAATGTTTGATTATGGTTCCGGAGGACGCATTATTAAGGTTTTCGATGATGACACGAGACTAGTAGAGAAGAAAGCGTATAGTTACACATTACAGTTCACAAAATTCACATAATAAAAGGGCAGATAGATTTTAATAGAATGAGAAACTTTCATTAATTTCAAACAATTAAATTATAAAATTTCAATTAATTAGCTCAATGTTGTTATATTTCAGTGGAAAATAATCGGTGAATGAGTGGATATTAATTAATGTCAAGCTTGAATAGAACAAGGCGAAAGACTGTCAAATATGCAGTTTTCGTCAAAAAGTAAGAATTGAAATGAATCAAAATTGTAGAAATGGATCTAATGGCAACGAGTATTGTTTCTTGAATTTTTTAATTTCAATTTGAAAGATTTTATTCACTGACTTCAAAGATTTGAATGGTATATTTTCAGCGTTTTGTTTTCTTTTGTTATTTCTTTATGATTGTTAATAATATTTGTTTGTACAAAAAATTCAACTGAACGTCAGCGGAAAATAAGCAATGGTTAACAAATTTTGCTATGTTCTCTTACTGCATTTGAAACCTTGTTATTCCTACAAAAATTAGTTAAATTACCGACCCTGCCAGAATGTAGATAAAACGTATGTAGAACTGGCAATTTAACTATTTCGAAATACGTATTAGATTTTAGTAGTTAAGTTATTAATTTATTTATTGTCAGTTAGGAAATTAAATATTTACCTCGTGAACACGATACGGAGCTCTGTTCAAAAAACGTGGAAAGTGGTGATGAATCCTGCAATAAAAAATTCTTTAATTAAAAATATGTACAACTTAAAAGTTTGCCCGATGTTAACATTGTTCAGTAATACGTCGAAAAATCACTCTATCACTTTTTCTCTTAGTTTATGGCAGGAATTTCCAAAGCGAAAGTTACAGAAAAAAATGGTCTCGGGTTCAGATTGTGTATTAAGGCAACGAAAATCGATCAAAAACGTATGCTACAAACCATTGTAAGCATGGGTACGTGTCTTAGTATCAACATTCAAGAATGAGTGGTTTTACATGAACAAAACTCTTTCTTCGCAAGTTAAATGAGTCCTTGCATGGCCAAGGGATGGATAAATTAACTTTTTCTCATGATTTTCACCAAGAGTGAGAAAGGAGCTCACAGGATATTTTAGATGCATTTTGTTCAATAATATTTGAAGTATTTACATTTGTTTACATGTTTGAGGTCATTTTATTCCCAAAGTAAAAAAAATATAACAAATTATTTTTAAAATAGTTTTGGTAGCAAAATTGATCTTGTACAACAGCGATTACCAGTCTGGGAACTGGGACACAAACTGGTTAGAGCAGCTGGGTGTATACCAGATAACCTGGGTTCGAGTCCCGGTCGGGTCAACCAATTCTTTGAACAAATTTAATTATCAAAATGCATTGTTACCCAGTAACGTGGTCACAAATTAGATTTCTTTATGATTGCGGAATATATTTCTTTTCCCAGCGTAATTGCGTTCAACAAGGTGACGGGGTGGCGACAATATAAAATTGATATAATATAATTATTAATATATATATATATATATATATATATATATATATATATATATATATATATATATACATATACACACAAATGAATTGCTGTTCGTTAGTCTCGCTAAAACTCGATAACGGCTGAACAGATTTTTCTTATCTTGGTTTTGAAATGTTTGTAGAGGTCTAGGAGAGGTTTAAAAGTTGAGAAAAATACGAATAATTGCCGGGAAAACCCTCAAAACAGCCGTTTTCTATTTCCCAAACAAACGTTTTCTAAATAAAATGGAGAGTCAATTTATAACTTATTACCGCTCCATAAAGTTAAAATTCGCGTGCAATGTCAGAATTGCGTTCTTTAGTGAGTGACAATGTAGTAGATAGGCTTAGAATGCAACGAAGTCGTGCTCATCAAACACAACAAAAGCAAATTAGACATAATGATATTGAGCGAATCCGCAGACGCAGTGCTCCTGTGATTCTTGAACGAGCTGCATTCCACTACGATCCGGCAATTGATTATTTTGCCGACAAATTGGTAACAATTGGGGAAATGAAAATATTTTGTAAATATTGTAAGGCGTTAACATCCACTAGTTAAATATGAAATTATAAAATGGAAGAAGAACCAAACGAAAGAGGCATCGTCGTCTTACCGTTCCGTCCCAGCGCCCGGTGGAGTTGCGTTCGCACGTGACGGCGAAGGAGACGTCGGCGAAGTGCGTGGAGGTGCAGACGCAGCTGAGCGTCTGCCGCCCCGTGGGCACCGCCGCCGCCGAGGCGCGGCCGGCCGCCGCGAGCGCCAGCACCGCTGCCACCGCCAGCGCCCGCGCAGAGTCCATCTCTGCGGGCGACGCCACGCCGCGGCCTCTCGCCACCGACTCGGGCTTCCTCCTCGGGAAGGCCCGGGGCGCCCCAAAGCCGCTGTCCGCCGCCGCCGGCGTGACTTGGCGACCGGACAGGCCGCTCTTGCGGGCGCTGCGCGTGCCCGAGGCACAGGCGGTGGCGGTAGTGGTAGTGGCTGCTGCGGCGTCTGTAGCGGAAGCGGTGGCGGCGGTAGCGATGGCTGTGGTGTTAAGGCACCCACAGACTCAAGCCTACGCGGAATGGCCGCAGTGGGAATTTCGCGTCACGTGTTGGCTTACGAGCACGTTCAGACCTGCGAGGCAGACGAGCGTCGCGGTAGCGGATTGAGAGCGTTTTCTTGCCTACGGATTTGGGAACGCAGTCGGACGCGTTTCGACCTCCGCCACCCGAGTTTCGTGGAAGTCCGCCTGCCTTGGGGAGTTTTCTCTACCCTCTGGATCGAGCTCCCTTTGTTTATCGGATGAGGAAACCTGCCACCAAACGCTGAGTCGTCATTGACGTTCCGGTGTGAACCGTCTAAATGACGCCTCTGAGCTAAATTCAAAATCGCCAGTTTTTTCGCCCAAGAAATACCTCCTTTCTCCGCTAATTGATGAAAGGAGCGTAGCGAAATTTGCGTGGTCAGACGAAAGAGCGGGCCTCATGGCCCGAGTCTCGCCACGTAAAATAAGGCAAATTCAATTCAATTCAATGGTCCCGTGGATTCCGCCGCCTCGTCTAGCGCGGAGCGTTCCGCGCCGCACCCGCCGCGGATCTCCCGTGCCGGTCTGTGAGAGCCTGTTGAGAGTTGTTGAGATATTGAGTTGTTGAGAGATAGTTGAGAGATTTTGCACCTAACCGAAACCGTCAGCCGTGTGAGTACGTAATCTCAGGTTCCTATGACACATATCAGCCCCCAATGACAGTTCGGCCTATTTCACGATAACTAAGGGCACAGGTTTTCAAGCTGATCGGAAGGAAGAAGGCTCTATTTCATCAGCAATATATCCAATAGATTGAGATGTTCATCTAATCTGGTGTACATCAAATTTTTAACGTCATTTCTCTATCCTTTGGGGGCATTTTAAAAACATTTTAAGAGTTTTTTATTGATCATTTTTGCGATGATTTAGGTCAACAAAATCCGCCCCTGGTTATAAATAACATAGCGTTGAATCTTGTGCGAAGCCCAAAGGCAGAATTTACGCTTAGTGCTTACATCTGTTGGCAACTGTTACAAGTTACAAGTTTGGCGCCTTTCGTTTATCGACTTTTGCCTTTCATGTATTGTGATTTCGATATTGTTCTTCGTTTATTTACATCGTAATCACTTGTATCCAGGAAAAACAAAATGAAAAGCGATGGCCAAGTGTGTCCAGATGCTACACGCTTGTTTTTACTGTTGGAGTGTGGACATAGTCCAGGTGTTTACGAAGAGTTTTTTTCCTGTACGCGTATATGTGAGTGTTGAATTAATAATTATAATAATAATAATAATAATAATAATAATAATAATAATAATAATAATAATAAAACTTATGATACAAAGACATTAAATTTCATTGCCGAACCAAACCCGGTTATCGCTTGTGTTTGCTACAGAGACCGCAATTAGTGTTCTGAGCGTCACGTGGCAAGAGACAGGTTCCCTTTTCCGTGAGTCTCTAGTGCTTTCCTAGCGTAGCGTAGCGTGCTGATCGACCAGACCATTTCACCAAATACTAGTCTTTACCTAAATAAAATTGTATTATAATTATATATTACTACAGAATATTGTTTTATAAAGGTGAGTAATTTCAGGTGGCCAGACAAACAACACCACATTCTCCTCAATTAGTTGAACAAATACTTCTTGTAACGTTTTGCTGAGATACGCTTCGTTTTTGTACAGCAGTTAAATTTTTAGTTAAAGTTTTTTATACTGCAATTTGGTATAAACCGGTGACAATTACACAAATAATTAATACATATGTAATTAATACACATTACATAAAGAAGTTATTACATGAGTTCATTATATAAATAAATGAATATGTTATAGCAATAGTACGAGTATAACTTCATGCAAATAGTATAATCATGATATATCAATAAAAAAATAATAATACTGTTTAATTTATGAGTAGTAACGTCTTTGAGAAGACGTAAATGGTATAAATAATGCGTAGTGGGAAGGTGAATATAATTGCATGTGTGGATAAAATGAAAATGGAATGAACATCTTGACGTCCAGGAATACTGTTGCTCTACCGATGAGAAGGGAAGTAACAAAACGGGGGACATTTTGAGTTCGTAATTATCAAAATTTCCTTGTGCATTCATGAATAACTCAGTGTACTCTATCACCGGGTCCTGTATGAGCAACGAAGACTGAATCATTCTTTGTGGTGATGTTATTGTGATTTCATATAGATCCGTGTAAGCCTGGACACTTGCATGCCTCTGTACAAATTTGTGATAAAAATTGATTTTACAATGTTCTTGTATTTGTTGAAAAATATTACAGCAACAGATACTTAGCTTTTCTCTGAAGAGCTAAATACATGATAACTTATCATATAGATGATTGTGAGGGTACGTTAACACTTACTTTTCCTGCCACGCGGTTAACTCGAGCTGAAAGCCATTTTGTCCTAAATAATGTTATATTACATAGACTTAGCGCAACTAAACAAAAGAACAAGCCACTCTTAACGGCCGGTGTCAGTTATGCCCGTTTCACTCTATCATTTTTCTGTACAGAAAACGGATGGAAAAAGGATGTGTGTTTCCACGTAGTTTTGTTTAGGTAGCGAAACTGGCTACGCGAGATCTAACGTATACAGATCATTTCGCTTTTTGCACATAATTATGAAGAAAATATTTTCTCTGCGCGCTGCAAAAAGCGCTGAAAATCAAACAGTCGAACATCTCATCTATAGTTAAATTAAGTTAGGTTATTGAATGACTTAACCTAAATAAGGCGATATTATAACACATTACATGTTTTATTTCTTACCGCACTAATAACTTCATATGACACTTCAACACCTTTGAACGCTCTCAAAAGTTCAAATGCGAAATAAATCGCTACACATGCATATCATAAGTGGAAAAGTTCCGGAAAGTGGCGCCAGTAGTCAAACTGAATGGAATCTGTATCAAACCATAAAGCATACGACATTTTTGTGTACAAATTACATCCCGCCTGGTTCATTGTTTTTCTATACTGATGAAAAATTAGTGAAAAATTACCATAAAAAACATGCTTTACGGATTTTAAAACTCGCTGTTCATTCAAAGCAATGGACTCAAATCAGTTGTAATTAAAGATAACCTCCAAGAAGAGTACTTCCATAAAGGTATATTTCTTATATATTAATTTTTTTCTTAAGAATGCGGTGTTAAAAGTATTAAATAACACAGGCTTGATAGCAGAAATAACATACTTGATTATTTGCTCTGTATTGTCGTAATCACGTAGTAACTATACCACGTACTGAAATTCAAACTCGTAACTGTGCTGCAGAAAGTTTGCCGCCGAAGCTATCCATGTTCTTTAGGTGAATTTGTTTATTCAAATATATATTTAAATGTGTATTTTTTACGAGCAGCTGTTCTAAATTGGAGTTTTCTACCTTATACGAATATTTATATTGTTTACTAATGAAGTTTGATTTTATTTTTCACATTTTTCTGAAGTTGTGTAACAATCATTCAGGCAACATTACATTTTCATCCATACGAGGAAGGGAGTCAAATAGGAGGTCAGAAGTTTTGTTTAAAAACGTTTTGAGATATATTTTTTATTTACTCGTATTACATTTATTCATAATGTAAACATACATTTAGCAATACGTCCTTCTTTTTCACATCGAACAACATTTTTATTACCTTTTTGCGATAATGTTAATTTCATGAAATCTACTTATTGTATAGAAATAGCAAAATGACATCTGTAAAATGTTTTATCTTTATATTTTCTCCTATCATCATATATTTTCATGAAACATATCTCAGTGTAACTATATGTAATCGAAAGTCAAATACACAAAATGTAGAAAATATCTTACTTCTTTGTATTACAAATGTTTGTTTTTATCTAGTCAAGTAGCTGACAGACAGGACAACTTTGATCAATCTTAAAAAGAATAATCATAAAATAACAAATATTAGTCGTTCAAGCACGTGACATACAATACACATAGTTTATTGTTAGAGTATTTATTATTTTAGAAAAGTATTGGTATAAAAGTAGGACCTAATGGCATAATGAAAAGTTTGTTATAAAGTAGAAGACTGTTCTATCCACTGAAATGACATTTTATATTGGTCTTTGCTGGGTCTTATCTGGGAAACTTTAGTTACGTACTACGTCAAAGAAGTTTCAGTTTCATGTAAATTTTGCTTATTCATCCCTGCACACTCAGCTAACTTTTGTTCTTCAAATATTGAAGAGTTATCATCGGTCTTCAGTGTCTTCAGATTCTTTTACAAAGGGGAAAGACCTTCTCCCGCTCTGTTGAATTCACCCATTGGCCGTTCCGACAAAAGAAATTAACGGTACTTTCATTGTGATCTTCAAATTTGTAGCCTTTCTTGCACGTTGCTTCGCATTTCCTGCAACACAAGTAAAGTAAATGGATGATATATAAGCTTGTTTGGAAACGCTGTTCAAAGAAGTGGCTGTTACTTACCACAATAATCATTCCTCAAAAAAATTTATAATTTTATACATTCTATTTCCTTTTGGAACTTACTGTTTCAATATCTTTTTAGAAGATGAGATACATAATTTGATGGAAAACGAAGATACATTTCAGTTATTTAAAGAAAATGAACGAACGGTACGAAGGAAATGTGATCTTCAACTGGGTGAAATGCTGACATACGTTCTGGCAAAGACCTTGGTACCTTACTACAATCTATGAAACCTTGCCGATTTGTCCCTTCATTAAAAAAAAACCCTTCGAAACTCTTTCTAACAGCGCTTTACTGCTAGATTGCAGTATTGATTGAGACCAGTGGCGTATTTACCGTTAAGCTAAATAATACTAAAACAATGCTACTAACTGTTAGTATATTTTCTTAAAGTAAAGTATTGTACAAATTTATAATTAGTTCCCGTTAATAAATAAAGTCATTGATAGACACCCTGTTGGAGTTAAAACAGATTTATTCTAATTACGATATTTTTCTTCTTTTCTGTTGCGCGTACTAGTCGAAGGCTTGGCAAAACCCGTCAGAGCGTTCTGATTGGTCTACTTTCCTTTACCAGACGTTTGGCGTACTCGCAAACACATTTTAAAATAATAATATTGGACAGGCAATTCAACGAGCGTAAGTGAGTTCTTTATTATTATTATTATTATTATTATTATTATTATTATTATTATTTTAAAATACTTCTGTTGGAATATTCTAGTTTGAATCAGCCAATCAGAAGCGATGACGGATTTTGACATGAATGATTTTCTCAGGCACTGGAACTTGTCTTAATAGCGACATCTTAAAACTTTACACTCGAATATCTACACTAATCTCTTTTTTAATTTTCCTTCGTACTTGTAGATTAACAACAATTACAGTTTTCATTTGAATCCCCATGATTTTCAGAAACATTCGAATTTATTTTAATTTTTTTAAGTTAGAATATGATACATCGTAATTGTTATTTTTTTAAATGCAGTATTTTCTGTCAATTTTAAATCACTATATTTCCACAGAATTGTTTTCCAATATTTATGAATTCATTGTTGTATTTTTACAATTGTCTTCGAGGCTTGTAAAGCATTTGAATTTATCCACGCATTACAGTTTGAAATTAAGATTTGGATGTCGTAGCATGAAAGTTCCTGGTTTTGGTTCCGCAAAATAATTACATTAATAACATAATTACATTAAATTTACTTGCAGCATTCTCTAAACACTAGTGATGTTATTGGTATAGTTCGTGCTAAGTACGCTGCAGACCGTACGTATTCACTCTTCGAAATGACGTATGGACATACATTTCTCAACTGTAATTACAGGTTAGTTGAATAAATCACCATTGATAGCATTTGGTGGATAGCATATTATCATAAGTAATAATTAAAATCACAGTGGGTAAATTTAATTAACGTTTATTTTATTGCAAAATTATTGTTTTGGCGCCACTATTTTTAATACTTTCTTTGGTGACGGTTTTCAGTTATCTGGGTATTCTCGGCAAAAGTTTGTAAATTACAAATTAAGAAAGCACAAACACCCTGGTTGGCACATTGCTAGTACCCAAGTATTTAGGACTCACAACTACTCAAACTCGACGATGATTTCATTCCAAGCAGTCGTGTGTACACGGGGCGCGGTCGGGCTGGGAAGATGTGGTCACCCTCGTGAAATAGATTCCCAATCCTTGTGTAATGTAACATTCACTAATACACCGAAAAACATGCGGTCATGTTTTAGTTGATCCCTCATAAAACCGCTCATAAATATTAAAAGAATTGAAAAAAACAGACTGAAAATTGTACATCAAGTAAAATATCTCATGCATATAAAAATATGAATGGATAAGCGCGCCCCAGGAAGATAGTTGTTGCGCCCACTTATTTTACGCAGCTTATCCTTACGCAAGAAGGCGAATAAACAAAGTTGACAATTGAAGAATGCATTCCGATATTACTCGAGTCAGTTGTCTTCTGCTCTGAATTCAATTGCACTTTGTTGATGACCATCAATAACGTGTACTTTGTTTTTCAGTTGAAAAGCGAATCGCATGACACTAGGCTATGCCCCGTGACTGGAATGTGCTCGTCCGTAAACTCAATTTCGCATTGTAACAATCACTTGTGGTTAACTCAGATGACCAGTTGAAGTGTCCGAGAACTCATTTGAATCATTCCTGAAACGGTTTTGTTTCCACTTACCGTGAAGAATTGCTGCAGGTGACAATGATATTTGGTACTACTTTAGGAAATGGTTTACATTCTGAAACAAAATAAAGGTTGTATAGTTTACAGTCAAGTGAAGAAAATTGTAAATAAATTTTAATGAACCGATAAGTGTTGAACAGTGAAACGATAATTAGGGATACAGAAAAGCACTAAAAATAAAATTCCTATCGATGAAATAGTAACTTATTACCTAATCAAAGGAAAGGGAAAAACTACTATGATTTCCGTTGACTTTCCCCCACTCCCTACGGCACTTCCACTACTGGTATGCGTCTAGAAATCATATTCATCCCAGGAAAATCGAAAGTATCAATTCTGTAAATATCTACCACCTTTAAATAATTTGATCTTATGTTTTGTGTTTAATAATTAATATCGAACAAAGAGAAGACACACAATTTTCTTCCCCAAAAAAACTGTAAAATCATGTATTTTTGGATTTTACCGAATCCCAAAACATCAAACTACCCAGCTAACTTCAAATTCTCATGCTAACATTAAACTTCACAAAACACGTACTTTTGTGTTGCGTGTTGCAGTGGTTTTGTTGTGTTGCTTTTGATAGGAATTTAAATTCAATTGTTTTAAAAAGGCGATCACATATTCTCTTATTTTTTATAATTTTCATTTCATCTGTCATGTGTTTTGTGCATCGATTATTAGTTGAAGATTAATATGAGTTCTGAGTATTTGCGGATGAATGTAACTTTTTATTTGGATGGACAGAGCAGTGTTGATGAGTGCCACACCCCCTTCCGATCGGGTGAGGAAGGAGACACGCTCGTGTGCCTTCCCGAATCCTGAAGAAATGAGCACAGAATTTAATGCTTTTGTCTTCCACTGTATAAAGGACTGTTGTACAATCGCAAAAGTTAAATGACGATGAGAGTTGAATAAATTTTGGATGCTTTTCAGGCAAATGTAAAGGCAGAATAGGTAAACCGCAAGTACATACGCTTGTCTTACGCAAGACTCGAACCCGCAGCTTACAGCTCCGCGTCTTACCTGTTCGACGTAACTTCTTACTCTTGGAAAAGCTTTTGAGAAAGGCATTATTCCTGGGGTGCGATGTTTTCTGGAAGGTGTCTGCAGTGAACGACCTCTTCGTTTCACCAGACGCATCCGGGTGTCTCGGATTCCGTGATCGGCTGATGTCGGGGTCGTCCTCCGACAGCTTGGGATTCCGTGGAGGAATGACATCTGGCTTTCCTCTGTACAAGAGTAAACCAAAATATTTTTTTCATTCATTCCGGTTGAATAGTTTTAGCTGAAATGCGTTAGCTAGCGACGGAATAGCAAATAATTGTTCTCAGTCATTCATGATAATTTTGATTTATCAGTTTTAATCTTCTTAAATAGTAACAGTTTTAATCTTCTTAAAGAACATAATACAAACGATATGTTCACATAAAATTGTTTGCATTTCTTTCAAAACCAATTTTTTTTAATGTAGAAAGCATGTTTTCTGCAAAACAGTAGTTTTTTTCTCAGTGATAAAATCGCACTTTGCTTGTTAAGAGATAAATCCAGCAATATTTGAAATAAGAATCTTAAGTGCTCTCAGTGAATCCATTGAGTAGAAATGTTATGCAAGAAGCAATTAGCGTCTAAAGGATGTGCAGCGTAGGTGTCAATTGGGAAAACTGGTTGCTCATTGACCTTGCAAATTGGTCTCTTGACTCAGCCAGACGATGCTATAACGCAGTGGTACTGGAAGTGTGTGTTGCAAAAATAATTTAATAAACGCATAAGAAGACAAACCAGTTATATTATAATACATATATTACTAATGGAATTTATTTTAGTGTAAACTCGCATTCTGAAAAGTTCTGTACATAATGTTGTTTTTGTAATTCTGTCCACCACGTAGGCTCCGTGCATGTGTCACAACATTCCGCATGACTAAAGAGTGATACAAGTTAACAATGTTTGGGAACTATTTCATTATGTGCAGCGTTTTACCGAATGAAGACATAAAAAAAACGTCTCAATGGACATAAGGTCTTTGTTACCTCTAAGCTTTGCCTCCTAGACAGTTTATCTACAAGGAAAATAAACAGTTTCTTAGGAAAAACTAGCGCCTCGGAAAAATATGAAAATAAGTTAATGTCATAAAATGTGTTTATACCCACAATAAACTTGTAAAATATATATTTTATCATCAAAATAATAAATATATTTTCATTTTTAATTGTTCAAAAAGTAACTATCGTAATGAGTATTATTGTTTTTAGTGAATGTGAGGGAATATTTTTCGAACGAGAAACAAACACGGTTTTAATAATAGTAATACTAATATTAGCAATAATAGTAATAATAATAATAATAATAATAATAATAATAATAATAATAATAATAATAATAATAATAATGTCTACATCTGTCGAGGTTCACGCCATAAGACGTACTCTTCCATCTAACTACTTAAATACTTTTACATTCACACAATTACAATGCGGAGCTCATAGATTAAGTGATCGGCAGCCCCCATAGTACCCAAATGGGGCCCTGCCTTGCTTCCTCTGGACTTACGTTCTGTCGCTCCTCCTGGGCGGGCTGGCTAGCGCGGAGGCGACGCACGCGGCGGCGAGCGCCACGGCGCAGAGCGCGGGCAGCGAGCGCATGGTGCACGGCCTGCGGGGGGCGCTGCCGGGCGGGGACTGCGCGCGCAGCGAGCGCTCGGCCGCGCACGCAGCTGCGTCTGTTACGCCATCGCCTCCCGCGGCAGCGCAGTGCGCGCGCGCTCCCGGCCGCCGGGCGAAACGCCCATGCGTTGCACACAGGGCTGCAGGAATGTCATCTCGAAACGTAACCAAACAGAGGAACGTTAATCGTAAAGACCGGCGTCCGTTAAGGAAATAAGTCTCAATTGCTGAAGAAGCTGCTGGAATATCTTTTCGAAATCCTTTACTGTTCAAGGAACCAAACACAAGAAAGAAAAATCAATCGTAACGACCGGCGTTCGTTAAGGAAGTAAGTCTCAATTGCTGAAGGAGCTGCTGGAATATCTTTTCGAAATCCTTTACTGTACACGCAACCAAAAAGAACGAAAAGCCATTCGTAACGGCTGGCGTTCGTTAAAGAATTAAGTCTGTCTATTGTAAAAGGGGCTGCAGGAATATCTCTTCGAAAACCTTTACAGTTAACGCAACCTTTACTGTTAACGCGATTATCACATGTAATAGTAATTTCTAATATAATACATAAACATTCCCTAAATTATCTAAAATGTTTGCTAAAATGCTTGTACAATGACTGTGAACCCACTGTATGTGTATTCACTGTGAACACAGAGATCAACAACTTTCTGAACATGTAATGGATATTTTTATTTACCAAGGTTTGTACAAGTAATCTGTAGGGAATATGGCAAATAAATCCTGCAGTCCACCTTACTTTTCAAACGTAGTTTTGCTGTAAGGACATGTATCTGACGTTTGCTACACAATGCGTTTACATACATTCAAAAATCTTTATATTTAAATGCACTCTTCGAACTCAAGAAAACTCACTGTATCTTCTCTAAAAAACAGCTTCCGCTCACAGATTTTCTTAAAGAAAAATTGTTGCATGCTTTGAATAGATGGATTACAGTTCACACTGTGAAATAATGGACAAATAACGACAGATAAACAATTTTTCTATTAATTTGATAATTATATTAAAATGTTTTTTATACTAAAAATAGTTAATAACAGTAACTTATAGTAATAAAACGTTGGCATACATCATTTCGAATCAACTACCTTTCATATAAAGCAACATTTTTCAAAAAAATTTGGTTGAGTGGAAGGCTAACCCTTCTCTCTCAAATAAAAGGTTTTAAGTTGAATGTAAATACTTTTGCAGTTTTCTAACGGCCAGAGAATGAAATTATGTACCATTCCATACTTATAAATGCACTTTCTTCTAAATAGACCTCGCTTTTCATGGATTAATTTTGTTGATGCAGAAAAGAATATCTACATTGTGGTGACGAACCACCAATCTAAACATGTATTTTATCCCTTTAGTTCAGATCATTGTCGCACTGCACGAAGATGGCGTGCCCCAGATCTCGAGATCAGCGTCAGGCGGGATATGTTTTTTTTTGTCGGAGCAAACAACGACGCCTTGTGAGAAGTTTAAGACGTCACTTCAAGAGGTTAAACGAGAAGTAGTCATACATTTCCGCATACACGAGAGAAAGGGAGCAGGGTTGATAAATTAACTGCTTATTTAGTAAAAACAATTGACCATTATATGACTGCACTAATGAAAAATCTTCTGAGGTCTCCCAATTTCATCCTGTAGCAATAAATTCGGTCTAGGTAAAACAAAAGGAAATTGCAAGTTACTTTAATATATCTGAAGATATACTTGGCTCAAAATGAATTTCCAGAAAATACAAAATGAAATTGTAATAATTAAAAATATTATTAATAAATGAATTAAAAGTGAAACAAATATTATACTGAATTATTGACTTCATTAACACGTCGCTAGTGAATGCAATTTCCGAGACTTACAGACTGCGAAAATCGTCTTAAATTATTATTGCAAATATTTAATTTTTGAACACATAAAAGGTTCACAATGAAAAGGAAGAATAACCATTTAAAAAACAACGTATGTTTTATTCAAAAAAGAGGTTTTGGATAAAAAAAAAGGAAGAGTAGACCTGTTAATTCGTACTACATTATCTATACGGTATAGACAAAGTTGTAAGAATGCGATTTGTTGCTTCAAGAAGAGAGTCGCTATCTATGTCCCTGCAAAACGCCCGCAAGTACAAAAAATGTTCAAAACATATGGTCTTCAAACTCTGAAAATGTGTTATCAAAAATATGAAGAAGTTTATCATAATATATTTCCAAATGCATGTATTATTATCTGTTACATAAGACATTCTTTAAAAACATTGAAATTATTCTTGGGTTTACCATTGACCTTCTCTTGGTTTTTCTCTGGAAACCGGCTTTGTGAATGTCATGTCAGTCTTCGATAGTAATAATAATATGTGACCCAGGGTATCAATTGAACCTATTGAATTGCCTCTGAGGGGGAGGTCCTAGGGTTCGAGTAACGGCAATGGCTCGATTTTCGTCACTAGATTCCAGATAGCCACGTCAAATTCAGTCGCTGCCTGGAGGTGAATTCCAGCGAGCGGCTGCTCTGATCGATACATTTCCGTGGTTTCTCCGATCCGCACCGTGCAAATGCCGGAGAAGGAATCTAACGAACAGCCACAGTCCGCGCACGATCTTTCCTTCGTGTTCCTTTTCCTATTCTCATCCCTTCCACATACTTACACTTTCATGCTCTACACTCCCACACATACCGGGAGCTTAGAGCACCTCCCTGCTGGTGGGAGATACGTGAATGGGGAAAACAACACAATTCGATCTGTAAGTCGGAACCGAATCTCACCATCCTGCGTGGGAGGATGACCGCCACCTGCCGCTACAAAAACATGCTCTACACTTACGAGAATAATGACCTTAGCAGTTGACATGCCCCGAAATCACTAATCAATCAATATTATTGTTAAAATCAATTGAAACCTCTCTAAGATCAGCATCGTCATGATTCATGGAGCGTAGGCACAAGTCGCTGTTCTTCGTGTCGGCCAATATGGTGGTTACCTGAAGGTCCTTGGTGCATTCAGAAGGACGGGAACCATTGAATGTAAATAGCCAAGGCTGGAGCTGCATGCCAGACTCACATGCCAGTAGCCATTGCTTCTGAGGATGTCTCACAACGAGTACTTCATATGACTACTTTTGCATAAGTAAAATAAGTGAAAATAGCCCTGAAATGAAAAAAAAATATCCCTAGGAGTTGATAATTGGCACAGTTGTTTATTTAATCATGAAGTGTAACAAAATATATCACCTTCGGTGAGACGACATGACGGATGTGTGCTGATGAATAGGTCCCTTTCTTTATTTTGTAGCAAATGTTTGAAAATTGAACAAATTGAAGCATTTAAAAAGAAAAAAATATTTATTGTTTTTGCCTTTTTAATAATTTCTACAGCTAATTTCCTTTATTTAGTGTGAAAGAAAGGGTTAAGGACCAACGATGATGAGAAATTAGAGCTTCTTTTGTCAATCATACCTCTTTTCCCTCCTACAAAGATCTCGTGTATTTTTGACTAGGGACTGGAAACTCAACTATAATGTGCCACCACTATCTGGAAATACGAGAGCAGATATTTGCAATAATGATTTGGTACAACTTTGCAACCACGAGACAATTACGGGGCAAATTTCACTCTAGTATAGCTAGGTTCAATTATAATAATGTGAACAATGAGCGCAATGTTGCCTTCGTAAGTATATTACTCTTTGTTGTTGTTGTTTTGAAAGAGAGTAGGAGATCGAAGATTTTAAGGATGAGCAATTGCCCTTTGCCGTTCTCTTGAATATGCCAATGCTGCGCGTTATAAGAAGAGAATTCTGCTTTATAATTTCTACTGACATCAACTCGACATTCTCCTCTATTTTACGCATCTCCTCTATACTACACGTTGATCACAATTTTTGTCAAGATCTCAACTGTAATCCTCAAGGAAAACTATGACTCTTTTAATAGTATTAAAAGGACAGAGCAGAAGCAATATGATACAAGTCGTAAAATTAGATGATTTTTGAGAATTAAAGACCACCTACAACACAATAATCTTTCGTTCCACCGACAATAAAAATAACAATGTCGATGTGATTAATTTACCATAAAATGATGCAAGGAATTGATACACTGAGCAGAAATGATGTGGACCTCGAGGATTGCTATTAAAAGGATCACTCTAACAACAAAAGTATTTATTGGTAAAAACACGGATCTTGTCCTGGTGTTTACTGTGTCAAGCAATTTTTTGTTTCTGAAAATAAGAAAGGATAAGAGGAAACAAATGTATACCCCATTCAGCAACTCCCGGAGTTCAACACTATCGTGTGTCCGCATGCATTGAGTGAACATGACGCTTTGTCGGACATGTGCAAAAAGGTTAACTTAACAACCTCAAGTCATTCTAGTAAAATTACATTATCTTACTTAGCCTGTCATTTTATGTATTCTGCAACTCATCGTTAGACGCTGGTAAAAATCAACAGGAAAATATTACCGGCATTCCTAACATGGCTACCAGAAAATCCGAGGAAACCTTGAGAAATACCAGTAATCAGAAGTTTTTAGTGAAATTGTAGCAAGCTATTGTTATTATTAAAATAACCAAATACAAACACAAAAGTAGTTTAAAATCAAACCCAAGTTATTCTTCTCAGTAGTGGAAATGTATTATAAGCGAATGCCCTTTTATGAGTTTGGATAATTAGCTTTATCGTATTGAGTGTCTATTTATGTCTTCATTGACATAATTTTTGATATTTTATATTCTGAAAAGTTCAAATGTAAACACTACCAAATGTATCACAAATAAAATAATATTTTAATTTTGCTATTGAATGAATAAGATCAATAAAGTAATACACTTCATAGTATCATTTCACGTTTTAAACTATATTACACAGAAAAATAATTCAAAATGCAATAAAAATGTTTATTGATCGTTACATTTGATGAATTTTTATATTTATTCAGACAGTTCACAGATGAATTGCAAGGGGTGATTGCAACTCACATCATTAAACATAGCGTTTCTTCTCAGAGTCACGCAATCTTCATCTCTGTGGTTGTTAGGTTCACCAGGAGACCATTTTACGTACCCTGTCTCGTTCAAAGCTATTCCTGCAACACAAACGCACATTTTATTCAGTTTATTTTTCGGCAGTTGAACTTAAAAGCAATTCATAGAAATAGGTCATTAGATGATGTTTTAATGTTAGTGATTCCGGGCGCGTCAGTTGGTCGCTTCGGTAAGGTCCGGGCGCTAAGGTCTTTAGTCCTGTAAGCATAGTACATGTTTTCTTCCTCGGGAGGTGGCGGTGACCTTCCCCCGCTTATTCCAGGTTCCAAGCTCTGGACTCCTTTACAAAACATTCAAACGTAGGTATTAAGATGAAAAAAAAATGTTCTGAAAAATGAAAACATATTTTTTAATGAAATACAATTAAAAGTTCGGCTACCTTTCTTTACAGTGTAATTGAAATTTATTTGAATTTTAGCAGATTGGACTTTTGAGCGAGATTCAAAACTTGGGGAAAGATAATGGATTTTAAAAACTTCCCAGTGCATGGAGTGTCATCCCATTAAATGGGGAATTTCAGCCACCGAAAATAAAACCTAGCTAACTGTCCCTGCATTGTTGTCAATGTATATAATGTACATAGAGGAAATATACATGATTTATTTATCTAGCACTTAAAGAAAAAATAATGTATTTTTATTTGTGGTTACTGTTAGTTTGGTTGATAAAGGAAAGATACATGAATGTTGTTGATCATGGGTCTTAGGATTTCTAAGTTAAGAAGAATTCAAAATTGGATTCATAATAATCTAGACTTTAACTTAAGAAAAGTTCAAAAAAAAGTGGTTAATTGTTTATTTTGAATGTTAACAGATCTACATACAAGCTATTTAATGTCGGAGTTGTGATATTGTGAAGCCATAATATGAAGTTTCAAAACGTCTGCTTTTTAGATAATACAAATATAATATATTTTTTGTTTTGTGTTGTAAATCTGAGAATTGACTTGTTACCAAATCAACAATTCTAAAGATAATCACGGTCTCATTGTACACCGAACATTCATTTTGTAATTTGAGTCTTCTTTCCCTCTTTCGACAGAATTCTTCGACTGACCAGTAGCTTTGGAGAAAGTAACCGTCGTCTAAACTGAATATTTCCGTACTGTCTTCTTTTCCTGTAGCGATACAGCGTAGTTCAGGCTTTGGTCTACCATCTAGTACACATAGAACAGCCGGAATATTTCTAGATCGTGACTGATGATTTATATACGGTAGAAAATTCAAGAAATACTTCGGTTCTAGTTCTGCGAATGAAATCGAGAGGGAGATAGGAGGAAATGGAGAGAAACCGTCATCTATAATATTCATCCAGATTTAAAATATTAAACATAGTAAAATCTGCCATAGTCTGCACTCGTACGCATATTTTCCTTGTATATGAAGTGATTATTGAGAACTTGCTTCGAAAACTCTATTGCACCCCTTGTTCAGAAATTTACAGCGCATTATTTATACGGTGGAAATTCTGAAACAACGAGACATAAAGTATTTCTCCGGTATCCCAGTCGAAGTCATAGAAAGAAATCACGGAATCGATACATTTGTGCAGCCTGCTTGAAGAGTTAACATCTAGGGAGTGACCGATTTCCAATTCGCTGGTGCCTAAAACTCGTCAGCAATGACCAGCAACTCGTTCGCGACAAAACGTACGTACGTATGTAGTGCGTACCTTGCACAGTGAAGAACTCGTTCTCTGCGTGGAAGTCGTAGGCGCCCACATACGCCTCGATGTTCCACTCCGCCCCCGGTTTCAGGAAGATGAGCGGCGCGGACAGCTCCAGCATCAGCTTCGCCTCGTCCTCCGAGTTGATGACGACGAGGTCGGTGCCTTCGGCCTCGCAAATGGCGCGCGCCTCGTACCACGACTTGAGGACCTGGTGGCGCTTGTAGAAGCCGTAGCCCGGGTAGTAGCGGTAGCCCTTCCCTCTGGGCACGCGCTTGGGCGGGGGCTCTGCCGACCCAGAGAAAGCAGTTGAAGTGACCGGCTGAACTTGAATGAAATTGATGGGAGTGTGCAGAGAGCCTCAGACTAAACGTCAGAAACCTCTAGGGAATTTAGAGGGTCGAAGTTTATCACTTTTGGAAAACAAGCATCTGCTGGGCAAACATTTCATAAATGTGAAACAGCCAATGTGTTCATATAGAATGTCCCAGAATGAATGTTCAACTTCTTTGTCATTGGTGTTTAGTAGAGACACGAAACTGCTTTGAGTTGGACATAATGTATTCCTGACAAACATAAGTGCAAGATGAATTGCTTACCGACCAGATAAAAATTGTGTGTAGCTTCGGTAATGAGATTTACCACCACAAGCTTATTAGCCAAAAGTGAGAATCTTCGACTTCCCTACATGACCTTGAAGTTTCTAATATTTATTCGGAGTTATCCTGTATGAACACATTGGCTATTATACCTAGTGATTTTTTCAGAGGTCATAACTATATTAGGGATTTTTATCAGTTTGCTTTGCAGGGCCTCTACCAGACATTTTCCCCCAAATGTTTACTTACCCACGCCATTGCATTAAAAATTTTACATATCCTGGAATAAAATGTTGATAAAACTTTTATTGGCACTGGGAATGATTTATTTTCAAGACTATTAATCAGTTACATAATATTGGTATATTCGAATTAACACATTTGTTATTATATGAAATGAATTCAAAAATAAACTCTATACGACTTTGTACTGGAGTAGACTGGATATAATCCAAAGATAGAGTTGACATATGAACTAAGAAAATTTATTAAAGAGATAATTAAGTGTTAATTAAAAATATCATTGACAGGAATATCTTGTTATGTTAGTACAACAAGCGTTAAACGTCAACAAAATACGGTTATTATTAAAATAAAAGATAAATAATAAAAATAAAAGAAAAAATCAAGTTACAAAATGAATTAATATTCTGATAACTACCGCATATTGTAGGTCGGGAAATTTTCTTTAACAAATCGAACGATAACGAAATGGAATAGAATGCATGCAAAAACGTTTAAACCCTTTCCCCGAAGCGCTAAACAGTTTAGGAAATTAATTTAGGGTTTTTCTAAGTAAATGAGGGACTTAACTAACAATATTGCATTATAAAGCGATGCATAAATGATATATTGTGAAGTGAGGAGCCGTGCAGTGTAGAGCAGAGAAACAACGAAAGAAGTGATTTAAGGGTCATAGTTAAGTGAAGAGCAGTGCTGTGCCAGTGCAGTATGGACTTAATGGAACAAATATTCACTGCAAAATTAGGTTATAGAAGTTACTTTTTCTTAAGATAATGTTTTATGAACCAGTCAATTTTTATATTATTATTAATTATTATTATTATTATTATTATTATTATTATTATTATTATTATACCATTACTGTTAGTGTTATCAGTTTATGCCATTTTTACTACTATTGTTTCTAATATTATTATTGTAGCATTATTATTATTACTATTATTATTATTATTGTATAATTTGCGTATCAGTTGTATTATCTTCAATGTGCAACTAGCTGCCACCGGGTTATTACCGATTGCAATTTAAATAAATGTATCTATATCTGAGCCCGTCAAACCTATTATGAGGTGCAGGTGCCCCGGAGCGCACCGTACTCACCGGCGAGGGAGACGTGGGCGTAGTGGGTGTTGGGGCCCTCGCAGTGCATGCAGGTGCGCGTGCGATGCTCAAGTTGCACTTCGAAGGGCACGCCGCCTGCACGCGCGTTTTCTCCCGGCTGCACGTCAATCTACGGCAACAGACAAACAAGCAAACAGATTGTAATATAGGTGTCTCACAGTAAATGTTACAAATTTCTACAAGTAGTGGCATCGAAAATGATCACTTTTTGCCAATGAAAGTGGGCTGAAAAATATAATGTATCCGAGTTTCAGATTATATTTGCCTCTAAAATTTTGGCTACTACGTATATAGTACACGTGCTTGGCAGACATACGACTGCGTCAGAACGTGAAATGCAAGGCACGTTGTCAAGGAGTTGACTAGCATCCGGGGACAATGCCACATTTGCGAATTCGATGTCTGAAATTTCGGATCCAGACCAATCAGTCCACAAGACAATGACTAATTAACACAAAGCCCACAGTAAAAATTGTCTACACTGGACGAAAATGTCCCCAAAACCTTGACGAAACAGTATTGGATCTATAATTAAATGGACATTTTTACTAATAGTCATTTCCAGTTGACATTTGTGCAGAGGAGGTTTTCCTGTGGACCAATGGAATGATAACCGAAATTCCCCACAGTATGTTTATTTGCAAAACGTGGTCCTGTTCCATTTTTCATCCTCCAAATGTTCATTTTCAGATACCTGTGAGAATCGGTTACTTCGTAAAGGCTGCATATCTGGAGATGTTGCCGGAAAAGGTAGCTGTCATAAACAGATTTCTGTTTTTTACATAAATTTAAAGTCAATTTTCAATTAAGGCGTTAGAGCGTAAATACTTGAGATTTATCTTTCAAAGTAAAAAAATATACATCTACCAACCTAAAATAAGTTGCATAAATGATGAGTTACTACTAATATTTTTATTCCTATTTATTTTTTCTTCTTGAAATCTCTTGCAATTTCGAAAGAGCCACTACTTATCATTCTTAAAATCAATAAATCTGATTTCACCCAGTGTGTCAGATATCATTATTTAGTTCTGAAATTACTCAATGGTAAACAGTTTTACAAAAGCGGAGAGCATATTTTTATTTTAATTATTATTAAGGTGGGGGATTGGTGCACTTACATCCGCCAACCAGTGGCCAGTGCTGTTCCTGTGCGTGGACAGGACGAACTTGAACTCTTTGTCGTCCGCCGAGATGCACTCCAGCGAGGGCGGGGTCGCAGAAGCGGTGGCCTCCACTGCCGTTACGTCCTCAGGGCTTGCGGAGGAAAATGGCGGAAGATCGCTGAAGGCAACGGAGGGCACGGAGGGGAGAGGGACGGCCGTCGGGCGAGTGGCGGGCGAGGATTGGGAGGCCGCCACAGTGAGGATAGTGATTAAATGCGCGAGTAGGGCCAGGGTCCTACTCTCGTCCTTCCGAGAGCTGCGTAGCATTGTTTCTCTCTAAAAAAATACGTTTCATTTAATACCTTGTGTACAATTTTCTTTTTCTCTTTTGGATGGATTAAAAAGGAAAAATAAATTCAATCATAAAATGAAAACAGATATGTATCAGACTGATTTGTCTATACAGTGTCTATGTATGTATGTACTTGGCGCGACAGCCCGTGAACGGGCTCAGGCCTACCAGTGACGTTCCTGCCTCGCGGCCATGGGTTAAGGGGGTACGTGTGGTTAGCACGTATACATCCCCACGCCGTATTCCGGTCTTCTTAACCTGAGAAGTGAATTTTCTCGTCACACAGCAAGATATACTGGGGCATTGCAAAGAAAACGCACACTATAGTCTTGGCTCAACCGGCACTCGAATTCGGGGACGCATTGTGGAAAGCGATCACGCTGACCAACACAGAGGGTCTAGGGAGGAAAAAAATAAACTTCGAAAATAAGGTCTAAAGTGAATGAAATATTTTTTCACAAAGAAAAATTAACACGGAATTGAAAAGGCAATTGAAATATTTAAATTGAATGATTATTTTACTTCTGTCTTAATTTTTCTTTGTGAACTAATATATTCACGTCTTTAGTATACAATAAACAATATACATGTTTCTGAAATGCAAATTTTTGCGTAGAAAGTGTTTGTTCAAATCAGTTTTTGAGTGTTTATTGCGACTCAGATATTTCAAATCTGGAAGGAGTTTATTAGACAAAATATACATAAAATTGCCGTAAGAGCTTTCCGCCGTCGCGTTGTTTCCTTCCTGAACACCTGCATATAATTAAGAAAAGATGTGACATTGAAATACGGTTACAGATGACATAATTCAAAAAATGGAGTAAGTGGAAATGAAAATAAGTGTTCTTTAAACAACTTAATTTTAAAACATATACAATCATATTAAGTTACTTTGTATTATGTACTCACTGGCTCTTCAAGTTGGGTTCAATGTAGTTAGATGCAGTAAGCTGCGTCGCGAGCTTCTCTTAGTGTTGTTTGAACCAAACACAATAGTGGACTGATCTCACAGATATGCTTTAAAGATTAGTGGCATACACTTTGCTTATTCATGAGATATCCCAGTGAGGTCAACGTTGCATCCCCGTGGATGATTAGGTGACTGTTTTCAAGAGTGTCTTACTCATCTCAAATAGATACTTATCTTAGAGGATCGTATTTAGCCTGCGCAAAAACTATTTGTCAATACTTTTATTTTTAAACTAAGCGTCCGGATATTAGTAACAATAAGAATTATTATTATTAATTATTAATATTAATATTATAATAATAATAATAATAATAATAATAATAATAATAATAATAATAATAATAATAATAATAATATTGTCGAACATTGCGTGCCGGGAGAGATGGCTTAGTGCATCAACTGATATCACTGCATTGCTTGTAGTCGGGACGTCCTAGGTTCGAGTTCCGACGATTTTTGACACTAGCTAGATAGCTAAGTCGCGTTCCATCGCTGTCTGGATAAGAATTCTAGCGTCCGACTGCTGTAATCGGTAGTTTTGAAAACCGTGATTTCTCCGATCAACACCAGGCGAATGCTGAAGCAGTTCCATAACAAACGGGTCACGGACCGCGCGTGATCTTTCCTACCTCTTCCGTGTTCTCTCCTATCTCTCACTCTCAGTTACATTCACTTTCACTAGGAAATCCCCGTAGCCGGCGGTAGGTCGGCGCCGGATCTCTCCAACCAGTGGAGAGTGATTACCGCCACCTCACACGATAAAATATGCACTACACTTACGGGAATATTAACAGTAGTTGCGCCTAATAAGACTAATCAACCAAACAACCAATGCATGTTTGATGTATGATGTACCGTTTGATGTATTACACGAAATATAAGAAAAAGATAGATTTAGAACTTTGTATTTCCAACACTTTGTTTCAAACATATGCCAATGATATTGAAATAAAAAAATATGATAAAATTAAAGATTTTGTAAAATTATTTGAATCTTTTTAGAAAAAGAGAATTCTGAATCTGACTCAGTTGAAATTTTGGAAAGAAACAAGTCTCCACTCTTCTCTATTGTTCCAATCTTGAGTGTCAACAAACATCATCTATTCCCATTAAAAACACCAAAGAAATGTTGTTCTCAAATACGTAGTGTACCAATGTATCGATTTCTTGGCTAATATTTTCTATAAATATGTTTTATTGGGTATTTTTAATGTTGCCTAAATTACCGTTATATTTACCGACTTTGCAGATCTCTGCCAGGACTTTAGAAATATGTGATTATAATATTTTAATGTGGAATATGTTAGACATAATAAAATCAAAACTTGGTGTCCCTACTTACCCACCAATGTTGGCTAACATGGAACAAACATTTGAATAGAGTTTCAACTGACTAATCAGGCTAATTTGGGATATATATATCTGTGTTAAATACTGTTAATAGTGTGAAATACGAATAACTGATTTTCACAGTTAAATGGCAAACGTCACTAAAAATACTGGTAATGACTTATTTTGGGGACGAAGTATATATAAAGAAAGGCATGTTTGCAAATGAAGAAATCTATCATTAAACTAGTGGTGTTACCAAAGCATATACTTTTTCGCATTGATTCTAATTACTCCGCAATATTGTACTACAACATAAACCAGCAAAAGTGTTTTCAAGCAGCAGATATTCTTTTCCGTTCCGCGACCCGATCTCAGATTCTCAAAGTTATCTTGCCAGTACACACAGCACTATGCCACACAAGCGTCTTATGGATCAACCTCAGGGAGAGGCATAAATAGGTAAATGCTCGATCCATGAAAAAAAATCTCAACTACCAAAGTATTCGTAAGGCGAGAAAGTAATAATAATTTAAATATATTTAATTATATCACTTATAAATACAATACATAAACAAATAATAATAAAGAAATGTCTCGGATTGAGTTAACATCTGACAGTTTTTCAGTAGATTCTTCTAACGATTTCTTCTGCTTCTTGGAAGGACATGCAGGTTCCTTATGTTTCTGAACCATTTGTTGTTTCAACTCAGTGTTTAGCTCATCTTGGGTCACACTTTTTCTTGAGGCAACACTCGCTTCTCTCCATAGCTTTGTCCGTCTGTTCTTGGTCAAACTTTTGATACTTGTTTTCCTTCCCTTTGATCTCATTCTCCTTTGCATTCATATTCATTTATATGAAACTGAATTTAATATTTTTATTATTTCATTCCTCTAAAATAGCAATATTGGGTAACTTGAGACAGTGTTCCAATTTACCCCCATTGAATCACGCGTAGGAATTTTCCATATATAAAAAAATAGGAGGGCAGCGTTAACAAAACATGATACTGAAAATTCTCGACAATAGTTCAGCTTGTGGAATGTAATTACTCACTAAATAAAAAATAATAACACTGCTCAAAGAATGTTTTACAATGAAAATTTTGCATGTTAAAGCTTACGCTAACTATTTTTGTTACTGAACAACCCTTACCTGCAAATAAAACATCCGAAAGATAATTTTTTTCCTTCTTTAAACCGTCATGAACACTTTGATGCTTCTTTCGATTCAAAACACCTGAACACAATTGAAATAGTCAACGTTTAAAAAAAATCGCAAAACGTCCCAAATTATTCTCTTAAACGGCATCCAAGAACATTACATTATTGGTTATTAATATTTTTCATTCGCAAAGCATGATCTTCATTTGTGTATTCCATTTTATTTTGATAAATCTAGATATTAAGTTTGTAAATTGTGATCTTCAACTTGATGCATCCATCACTGAAATATTAACGAAATGTGTCAACGCAATAAATGTTGACTTGACAAGATATTATCTTAAATTTCATAGCAAATTCTCCTTTTATATCCGTATTTCTTAAAAGATTCGGATTCGGTATCGTAGCCTTCTTTCGATTAAGTTGACAGTGTATTCTTCACGATTCAAAGTTTAAGCGCAGATAGTCTCTCCATTGTAGGAGTGCTCTTTGTACGAGTGATGGCTTCATTGCAGCATGATCTTCAATTCTTAAGTACGGTCGAATCAATACAATTCAATAATTTATTTTCTATTAATAATTTTGAATCCTATTTAATATTCCTAAAAAATATGGCTATGTACCAAAAATATCTTTAAACTAATAAAATTTGTTTAATTTTTTTACTACCTTCCACGTTGTTTACAAATCTGAAAAAAATATTATGAGACACATTCTAGGGAAACAAACTGAGACAGTACTCCACGTTATTGCGTTGAAAATCAGTTTCAAAAAATTATTTATTTTTTCTTTTCGACTTTGGCTCCAAAATTGGTTAGCAAAAATACCATCAAATTCAACTATTTTTCTCCGTCTTTGCAATTTGTTTCAACCTGATACATACAATAGAAGCTGAGAAAAAGTAAAACATTGAAAACACAATTCTCATCGTATCTCTGCAAAATATTGCCCCGGAAGACTGTTTTGGGGGTAATCTACGATATTTTTTATTCTCTATGAGTATCGCGATTATCGATTTGGCTGGGAGGACCTTTTCATCCCCTTATACGGCTGTAACCTTTCATCCTTCGTAATTTAATTTTCTCGCACTTCTTTTCCAACCTGCTTATCGTTTCAACATTTTACTAATTCTTACATTTTAATTACATAAATCCTCTAAAGATTACTATCAATTCCATAAGACTCTCCTAATATTGTAAATTTGAAATATATAATGTCGAACATAAAAAATATTTTTTTAAAAAGTGCTACAGCACTTAGAAAATAATAAACCTCCATGGTCTCTTTTAACGCCTTGTAAAATTATTTACTACTATTTAAAATTTCATTAAATAATGAAATGCATAGGCAAGTACTTTAGAAATACTAAAATTCTATCGGAGTTTACGGACTTAGACGATATGTTGGTACGCTTCGAATATGTCAGTTTCGCTACTCTTTGAAGGCATTTAAGAAGAAAAGATCATACATTTCATCTTCCCGCTTTCGAGATAGTATAATTTCGGCCAAAATCCGCGAATTCTTTCCCAATTGACAAAAAAATTCATTTTTGTACAAAGCTCTTTGAAATCGACTTTCAACTGCTTCGAAAAATCACTAATAGATTTCACCACCTCCTGGGCTGCCGCGTCGAAATATTTATTCATTGATAGATTTCCCGGAATCCCAACGTTTTGAGATCAGTTGCGAAGATCTCGCATTGTTTGAAAATCAGAGAAGCCACGAACATATTTGTAGCAATCGTGCTGACAAGCTAAGCAATACGGGATTAGCGCATTGAAACTTGGTGGTACGATGGCAGCAAGCAATTATCGTGTAGTTTCTTTGAACCATCGCTCTGAGAGGCGGAGCGAAAGAGCAGAAATCATAAATGACGAGAAATTTTTGAATTGGCAGAGCTTAATATTTTAAATCTGAAAAAATATATTCAATATGACACATAAGGGGTAGGCCTGAATAGCAAATTAGAAAGAAATAGGAGGTACGCAACTACAAGTTTTTTTCTTTAAAAAAATCCATGTCAGATATTTTATACCTTTAGTGCGATATCCCTGACTGACACTAATTTAAAAGGAGTGCACATAGATATTGCAGATGTATCGTGTACTTAAGCATTGAAATTAAAATAAATAAAATAGTCAATCCTACTAAAAACATCGAAAAACAACAATATTAACTGTTATTTAAGTGTTAAATTCCAATAGAATTTTAAAAATATTTACGCAAAACAAAAATTGCTTGCATTTTAAGATATTCTCCTTGTTACAAAAATTAAAATTTTAAATAACTCCTAGTCTTCCTTTGGCAACTTTCACCTTTCAGATTGTTAACTTCACAAAATGATAGGTTTGGATGAAAACTATGACAAAAATTTAACTTTATACATGGCGTTTATATGATACTCGAATGCACACTGCCCGTATAAACAGTGGTCAGTGATCTCAGATCTCTCTGTCACTCATACTAGAGAACCCTTCACCTCAGCCGCACAGAAAAATACCTTATTTATCACACCCATTGTGAGCGAAAACATTGATATCTTTTGCCTTCGTCATAAACACGGACAATCTTCAGGACCAAGTGACCCTGCTTACGACGATACGAGGTATGAGAAAGTCCCCCAGAGAAGCATCTGAGAATTCAATTTACTCGCTGCGATATCCAATATCCTACTGTTACCTTCTGCTGAAGATGTCATGAACGTTCTTTCTTGTGACTAACGCAGAGCGCAAGGGCAACGTTAATGCTTTCTTGATATTAAAAGTAGGAGTTTGGAATGTATAATTAAAATGCAGTAACATAGAGTCCTTCAAAACAAATAATCGCAAGTATTTCATCTTGTGCATTTTTTATTTAAATTTCAAGTACATAAGCAAATTATATAAATGTTTGCATAGATATAACATTTGTTAAAGAAATTGAATTTGACATTTTTTTAAACATGCTGTACAATAACATTATACTCAATTTGTAACCATTTTCCTACATTCAGACTTCCCTTCGGTTCATGAAAAACGCCATTGATGATGTCTTCTCCAGGGTTATCTTCACTTTCGTTTCCATTCGTCTTAAATATTTACAGTATACTCCTATCACTCCTCTTACTTTGTCAGCGATCTCCATTGGTTGATCAATAATATTCATAACTTGCCCTAAAAAATTGTTGAAATAAATAAGCACAGTGAAGTTGAATATCAAAATATAAATTAAAATTAATACAAAAAGCGAGATAGAAATCGAACCACGAGCATATATCACATTTAGTGTGGATATGCCGCATCCTGAAACGTTTCCTGTTCTTACCCTTTAGAAATACAAAAGATACACGTATAATAACGTACTGATACTAAGAAATGCGAAAAAAATTATGATTGAAAAGTTTTCGAGTATTTAAAATTCTATGAAAATGTTAAATAATTGTACGCAATGATTTCTGTCTTCAACAACGTTTAAAAAATCTAGTGATGTTGCAACAGCACATATTTTCTCGAATTATTGGCATGTTTTGCAGTTTTCGAAAAGGGTTTAAGGAATATGAGACCAGCACCATTTTTGAAATTCCATTTACCTATCCGATGACAAAACAAAGGTGAAAAAATTGAGAGCGTTTTGAAGAAAATAATCGTTTAAAAAGTGCTTACGCATGAATTTTATGCAAAATTACCCTAAGACTAGGTCGTATTTTCAAAACATTTTTCGCAGCTTTAGTTCAAGATATGTCTTTGATTTCATTAAGAAAAAACCTTCCTTTTTTCAATATTGCAATTGTAGGAAGACACCGAAAAAATAGAACTTTGCAGTTTTTGAAAATTCAGAGAATTCAACAAATTGAGTCCTGCGCCTTTTTTTTACGTTCTTATGCTTTTATACAAAACATAAAGCCATTTTTAAGAAATTTTTGGAAATTTTGTACATAACACTTCAGCCAACCATTATGAAGCTTTTCGAAGAGGGTGAGGGTAGGCATACACATATTTCTGCAAAGAACTCTAGGCATTGAGTTAAGAAGCTCTCATATTTTAAGAAACCTTTATGTAACAAAAATTACCTTTTATACAACATTTATAAACGTTTATATAGCATTTTTAAATCTGTATGTAACTACGTATTTTATTTATTAGAAAGTTTGTTCCAACAATTCCAAAAGAAAGCTACTCTGGTGTATAATCAACAAATTATGTACTGACACCAATATTAATTTGATTCCAGCAAGACGTTAATTTAATGAATTTAAACCATAAAACATCTCAATTAAATAATATTGAAAATAAACAAAATCTTACTCGTAACTTGGGACCTCAAAGCCATTGGATTCAAGCCATTCTCCCACTTCCAGCTTTTCCTTTAGTACATCAGTCTCTTCATGATCTTCACACAAAAATGGCCGTCGATCGTAACAATCTTCAGTTGTGAGATTGTATGTTTTTTCATTAAAGTTTACAACTCCACATAATTTTTCATTTTCCTCCAGGGGTTCCGTGAAATTCGTTACCATTTGCCCTAAAAAATATATGTGTAATTTTTAGGGGTACCAAGACTGAAGTCGATGCATATGTATGGGAGGGGATGGTCTTCACCGCATTCGTAACAAATCTATGAGTTAATGAGTTTCCGAGCACGTCAACTACTCTAGTCATTAGTCCCGTGAGTGCAGGAAATGTTGTAGCCGGAAGGTAGCTGAGTTTCTCTCTCTCTCTCTCTCTCTCTCTCTCTCTCTCTCTCTCTCTCTCTCTCTCTGTGCCTGTGCCTCTGTCTCTGTCTCATCTATCTCTACCTCTGTCTGTGCTTGTGCCTCTGCCTCTGTCTTTGCCTCTGCCTCTCTCCCTCTCTGCCTATATCTCTATATCTATCACTACTCGCTGGGACCGGGGAGGTGACTCAGGGCATCAACTGCAGTAGCTCTGACCGAGAGGTCCTTGTTTCCAGTACTGGTAGTTAGGTTGAATTCAATTGCTGTCTGGAAGGTAACTCTACCGGCCGTCTGCTCTAATCGGTAGTTTTGCGTAGTTTCTCCAATCAACAGTAGGCGAATGCCGGAACAATGCTCTTACAAAGGGCCATTGACCGGGCGCGATCTTTCCTTCCTCTTCCTTGTCCTGTACTCATCGCTTACTTACATACCCACTTACATCAATAGCATTCACCAGCTATTGATAGAAGAAACAAAGGTAATGTACCGATTAGTACGTAGGTTGCTGGAACACTCTTCCAGAAAATGGCTGAATTCGACCTACTTACATAGTATCAAAAAACCTCCACCTTCGGCACTCGAAGAACTTTCCGGCGAGAGCCACTGCAGCGGCAATGAATGTAGTGATTGAACTATCCCAACCGGTCAAATCGATGAAAAATACTGTTTTACTTGTAAAATTACATTATGCAAAGGGTTTTCTCCTTTACTTTTAATCTGTCAGTCTGTCTGTGTGTCTGCCTCTCCTTCCCTTACACACTCCCTCCCTCCCATTCTCTTTCCATATAGCAGAAGTCGGTCGTGACGATGACTACTGATTTGTCCTAAGAGCATTGGGACGACCCCATCGGCTGTCCAATGAGGATGGCAATGAACACAGTCTGAGAATATCAAGTCGCATTCGGCCACGTGCCATTGTTGAAGGTACTGCTCTGACATCTGATCGGCTGTGTGAAAATTGCTCTTCTTGATGACTATGGCAAAGATGATTAAAAAAGAAAGAAAACGAATAAAAAATGGAAACTAGTTGACGTAGAAGATTGAAGACTAAAAAGATACATAAAAAATAAATGAAGGAGAAAGGATTTATGAGTTATAAAAAATGGCTAATAAGAGATAAATTGATGATAAGTAAAATTACATCAACCTACCTCGCTCTGTTCTGAACCGTCCATCTTCTTGCATATTGTTTATTCCCACGAATACTGAGCATATAGAGATTGAAGTGCACCAATGTTTCACTTCTTGCATCCAATTGAAAAGCTCCTTTGTAGGCACAGCCAGTCGCTGCCCGGAGGCGAGGCAGTCGGAACTCGCAGTGAAATAGTCCGTGTTTCGCACAACCAAATCGAACCTATCTGACGATTTGGTCTCCAAGATCATCAGCTCCCTTTCGTATGATGAACTGGCTATAATGAGAATAATAAAATTTCATTGAAGAAACATTATTCTATTTGAATTTCGTGTAAAACGACGTGGAAAGAAATGTGAGGTCTCTAATACTAAAATAAAAACTACAAATACATTTACTGGTGCTATAACAACCCAACTTTCTCGGGTTATTGATATTGCTTATCATAATAACACATCAGCCATCATTTGAAAAACTCCTAATAAAACCAAGGTAACTTATGTTTGAAAAATATTGCTTTATATTATTTTGTAAATTAAACAGTTTCATTGAAAATGTTTTGCCATTCATTTAAAGTTTTTTAAGATTGTTGTATCGAATTAAAGCAATCCCTCAAGAGGAACGAAAAGACAATTGTAAATGGACATAAAACTACAGTAAAAATGAACACAACTACGAAATACTAGTAAAAGTGCTACTTTTTTTAATATCAACCAAATTGTTGAAGGGCGAGTCCTCATGAAGGGACAATCATAAGAGTACTTCTCGAAAATTTTTAGTTATTTTCTACCGTGTCTCAAGTTACGACGCATCAAAAAGAATGGTTAGGGAGCGCGGGATGCTTGATTTTAGAGACAAGCGGTTTTTTGTAGATAGAATTTACCTCATGAAAACAACATATTATTCTCGTTTCTTCTCCTTAAAATTTGAAATATTTATTAAACTTTATAACACTGAATACCATGTATATATTTTTGTGATATTTGAAAAAGAAGATATTTTCAGTTATTACTGGAATGTTTTTGGTTGTTCACAATTGAGTATAATTATGGAGTACTAAACAGATAATTCTATTTGGTTAAATGAATATAAAATTATCACAAGGATTATACATTGTCTATTCAGGGATGACTTCTGGATAGCACGTGCCTCATTGTATGCATGTACGCATCAATTAAAATACCCTGGTTCTGTATGCAGAGAAATAAATTATGTTTTAATATTATCTAAAGGTAACATATTTAACATTGTATAAAGTTGCATAAAAACATTTTACTGTACATTATCTGTAAAAAATTATTATAAGCATTTACCTGCAACGCGAGCAACAAAATGTGGTAAGCTAGTATGTTTATCCAAACTTTGTTCCAAGCTGTACTGTACTCTGGGAGCAAATCCTCTCTCTGGAAAACCCTCCCTCTGCAGTTCAGTCTGCGAAAACGTAGCAAATTAGTTCTCTTCAAAGAGAAAATATCATTACAAACACCAATAACATACATTATCTTTTATACATAAGCAAATTAAACATGCACTTAGGAACCACGCTGGATAGAGGTGATCGATAATTTTTCTAACTAAATATATTGCTACATAAATTTGTAAAAATTTAAATTTATATTTTAAATTGATGACTTGACATTATTTGTTAGGGAGATTAATAGAAGCCCACATTCCAATGTTTTCAAAATTAATTGAGTTCAGTTAAAATGAGCCCTTCCCCTTTCATTCAAGCGTCACTTGTTAACTCCCGAGACAATATACAAAACATATTTCGAGCTCTTTTTAAGAAAATATTTTTTTTATAAATTGCATTGATTTCAAACACAATTTACGAGAAAACTATTGATTTGTTCAAAAAAATGTATACGAAATTGTGGCAAACATCTCTATCTTCAATTTTGTTGTTTTGAAATGTTACCTCCTTTTTGAAGTAAAGAGAGTTCTCCGGAAATGATACTAGCGTCAAACATTTTTCCCCATGTTTTTTGATACATGGTGGACTAATTTTGAAGAAAAGATTTCATGCTTTTTTCAGAAAATATTTGTTTTCAAAGTTGAATATTGCCTTCATTTCACACAATATTACGCGGAAATTACATAAAATAAACATTGTACTAGATATTATTTCGAGATCTGTCTTCAAAAAAACAGATTTTATTTAGGAAAAAAATCTCTATTTCTACATTGCAGTTGCAGAAAAACGCCTACAATAATTGAAGAATTTGGCGAATTTTCAATTTTCGAAAAATCGGCGTTTTTAATGATAATGAGTACTGCACTATAGTATTAAATGTCAAAAGACAAAATTTAATAAAGAAGTTTGGAGCTTCTGTTTTTTTGAGAAAATTTAGAAAATGTTTAGGCTTCAAGCTCAGAAGGTTTCGATTTCATTAAAATCGATTGGGAAATTTCTATTTTGAAGAAAATCGTCTAAACAGTTTTGGCAGTAGTCTTGACCACATACGTACAAACGGACAAACGTTTTGCCGTCAATAGATTTTTCCGTATCAACGACCCACAAAACACAGCTTCTGACTGCACAACGTATTAGAGGACGTAATTTGCTGAACGTAGGAACAATATTTGTCAACGTTTTTGTAACCAAGGCTCGGAAACCAGAACGTTTCTGTCGAAAATTTGCCGTTACCTGCTGTACAATACTTATCTTCGTATGTGAGTAAGAGCGAGGAAGAAAGAGGTAGCTAATATGGAAATTACATAACATTTAAATTTCCGCACAGCATTATTATTGTTTGATTCCCACCCCCTTCTGGGGGCTAGGGATGACACATCTTAACAAGTAGGTCATCACAAGCCTACATTATTACTCACTAGGTACTTCCACTTATCATTGTAATAGATATTCATGCAGTAGAGAAAGTAAGTCTCTCCTAATCATCCAATTCCACTACAAAAAATAACCAGAAAGTTTTATTTGTAATCTAAATTATTTAATGTCTAGCTCTTATTAATAAATTTCCTTTAGTGTGTATATTTACCTGAGTAACCCATCTACCATGGTGGTTGCAAGAGAAGCGAAAAGAAAATTTCAACTTCCTTTCTTCAATTTCTTTGAAAATTGGCTCGATGTTTGTCGTATTTTCACTGAGAGCTTTGACCAGTATGTTAACCATAAAGAGAATCAGACACTCGCGAACAAAGCACCTCGCCATCTTTAACGTGTGTGGAACAGTAACCAGTTCTACGAGACACTTGTTTGATAAGCTGGCAGTCGACTGAAATGAAATGTATGGAGCCCGGGGGAGGGAGAATTAGACGAACTCTAGATCACTGATGACTAATACGCATTTTTAAATGAATTATGATGACCAACTAAATAAACAATTATTGATAAGATCTATGATAAGATTTGTTGGACGATATATCGTGTAAAAGACAGAAAACGTACGTTTTTCCGGCAAAGATTTACACACATTTTCCAGCAGTTATATTTATAGTCAAAATTTCAACACTCATTTTGTCCTTCGTTAATGATGGACGAAATACATCTGAAGTATTATTTTACATTTTGTCTCACAACTTACAAAATAATAAATCATAACTCCATTATATCTACTAGATGTTATTTAGCAATAACCTGACAAGGAATCCGAATGTTTATATGAAAAATACTTGTTTTGCCTTATTTACAACTTATAGTAAAATATTTTTAATAATTTATTTTACTAATTTCCATTGATTGACTTTTAATGATTGCGTGAACTGCTAAGGTCATTAGTCCCATAAGTGTAGTTCATGCGTTTTTCCTCGTAAGGCAACGGTATTTCTGGTTTTTCCTCGTAAGGCCCCGATGGGTGGCACGATCCGATACCGACCTACCGAGGTTTTCCCTTCCCCAACTCAAGTTTCTCCTACCAGGGAGCAACGCCCTAGCCGGGACAAGCTCTCATAAGTCTAATAAGCTTTCGACCGGTCTCCCGGCAGTGTGGTTGTGTAGTGCATGTTAGTACTAGTGTGTGTAAGTAAGAGGTGAGAATAGCACAAGAAAGAGGTAGGAAAGATAGCGCGCGATCCATGTCCCGTTTGTTAGGATACTTCTCCGACGTTCACCAGGCGTTGATGAGAGAAACTACGGAAAAATGCCGATCATAGCAGCCGGCCGCTAGAATTATTCTCCAGACAGCAACTGAATTCGATTTAGCTAATGAATAAAATACTGCCACAGTCGGGACTCAAACCTAGGGCCTGTGGTCAGAGGCACTGCAGTGGCTTTAGTTGAAGCCTTGAGCCACCTCTCCCAAAATATCCATTTGAAACTCCCAAAGCCTAGAGTTCATTCAAATCGATAAGGGAATATCACTTTTAAAGAAAATCGGCTGGACGGTTCAGGCGCTAGAGTTGGCCACAGACGGATAGACAGGCGTTTTGCCTTCAATAGATTTTTAGGTATCAAGGACCCACAAACCTGGAGTATCGCTTCAACACATGTTAGAGGTTTTTTTGTACTAAGCTACAGGATTCATCCTTTTTCGATACCAAGGCCCAGCAATAAGTTTTTCTGATGAACATCCACCTTACATAACTTTCTCTTCTAACGAAGTACCTTCGTAAGGGCAGGAAAGTATCAGCAACCAAAATTCATGAAAATGTTAGAAACCCCAACTCTTGTTACAAAAATGATAGTCAACTAGGGTTGGCGAGCTCAAGTGCGGCAGGCTTTCAAAGATGTTTATTGTTTATTACTTAAATGTTTTCTCACTGATTGTATAAGCTCGGAATCTCATATTTTTTAAATTTGAAAAATTCTGCTATTGTGTCAACAGAATGGATGAAAAATGGATGATGGTGGATAATGGATTGAGAATGGTTGGTTGAGTGAGTGATGAATATACAGATTGTGGACGGATGGATGAGAATTGAATGGATTGATGCCTGCCAGATGGACGGAAAGACGGATGGACGGATGGAAGGACGGACGGATGTACAGACGGATGGATGTATTGACGATGTGCCGAATAAAGGAACCGCAAGTACGGGCGATAGGATTTGGCTTTAATGAGTAGAGGGATGAAAATTATAAGAATCCGATGTGCGAATATTGCGCTATTTCTGGTTAAGCGTAATAGGGATGGGTCCTGAAATGGTTTTGTCGCGGTCCTGAAAGTTGAATCCCGAATTCACAAGGGATAGCAAGCAGCTCCTCCATTAATAAACAAAAATCATCAGTGTGTTGTATACGAAGTCTTTGCTGTTTTATTGACAGAATACTGCATTTGGATTTAATTTAGATCTCTGGCAAGAGCTTGGGTGCAAAATCGCGTTGAGGTACTATTCATAAGCAGTGATTTTCAAAACAAAATTACAATATACGTATATATTCATGGAACTTAAACTCAACTCCAGTATTTACTTGACATCCACATTCTTGTTAAATTGACTAATTATTTCAAGAAAATGTGTCATTTAGGTTGGGAATCTGATAAAAAGATCTCAGCAATTTAAAATTACTAAATTTCTAAAGCAAGGATGTTCCATGTTCCCCAAAGTTATTTAAATTATACGTATAAGTTGTCCTACAAAGTTAGAAGTAAAAGTGTAAATGTGTGGATATAGAAATAAATGTAACTTGTTCATTTACTCTTTTGTTTGCCGAGTATCATGCATTAGTGGCAAATTGCGAAGAAATGAATTGAGGAACACAAATGGGGTTTAATCATAAATACGGGAAAGACAATCCTTATCGATAGGAAAAGAGGGGATAGTTCTTCAAATGAGCCGTTGAGAGCAAAAGTGCCGTAAGTCAAAAGACAGACATTCTGGGAAATGACGTGTAAGCGAATAACGTTGTAGAACTATAATGTGTAGAAACGGCACCATATAAATCTAGGTGGCAACATACGCGGCACCGTATAAATTTAGGTAGAATCACGTCACAGGTCTTGAATCTATCTCTTTGACCATTAAAGATTGAGTGAACAACTTGTACAACGTCATCATTGAAGCCTATTACAACGTACGGAGAAGAATGTTGGACTACAACCGCGGAGGAAGGAAAATATTTAAGTTGTAGAAATGTATTTCTAGAGAAGAGCCTCCAGGGTATGCTGACTTGAACCTCCAATGAAGAAGTAAGAGAAAGGACTGCCAATAGAAACACTATTTATCACCATATTGAAGTCAAACAGTTAATGTAGTATAGTCATATCAGTAGAATGGGAAAGAAATTGATACCGAAAAATATATTTCTTTGCCTGCCAGTTGGACAGAGGAATAATGGAAATGCGCCGGCAACTTGGAATCAGAGAATTGAAACAGTAATTACCGAAAGGATCTTGAACTGGGAAGATGCCCAGAATAGGAATATTATAGGGTATATAGTATAAAATATTGAAAAGTCATTTGAATAAGAATACTCCTCGTCGATATGCACGTCTTATATTCCAAATCCCCCGGAGGTTATACGTATGTTAGTAGGACGTCTATGCCTGCAGGTCATAATTTATTTCCAGTTGACCCTCTGGGTCGGCCGAGTGTAAATAACGACACGAAGACTTCCTTCAGGTGCTGTTGCAGCTGAGGATCAGGGCGAACTGGTCGTTCGAGTTAATTACTAAAAGCTCTCATGGCAAGGAGACCAAGAGAAGCAATACGGATGACTTACGTTGTGGGTGAGTGAATGCATGTTGGGGGCGGTCGTGTGTGTTCGTGGGGTGGGCGGTTGCGCTTCCGGCTGAGTGTGTACGCAAGGCAGACAAGTGTGTGTTATAGATAGGGAGACGTTTGGAGGGCAGGCGATTGAGAG